TTTGGAACCTCTAAACTAGGAGATATATTTGACTATTTTTCCTATCATAGAACATAACAATTTCACAAAGAGATTTAGCAACCAAGTTCTGTGATTAGTAATTTTATATGATACCTGATGCTGCTCTATGCTTGCCTCAAAATCCCTATGTATTTTAAAATCTGTTTAAGAAGTTTAATGGATCATGAAACACGCACTATGACCCACTGCCATTTTAAATACCAATGGTTTAATAATATGAGATGCTACATCTTAATTTTTTTTCTGAATTAAAGAAAAACAATCTGTATATCACAAAGCAAGGCAGACTGATCAGAAATCTGGTTCACACAGAAATGCAAGTATAAAATTCCTAGAAACATTGCGGAAATAAATGTCTTTCACACTGCATCTCCCGATACAACAATTTTATCATCACCCTTTTGCATGCCCAGAGCGTGTGACATCACAAAATCAACTTGTCATTGGTATATCACTTTCCTTCTATTCCATCAACCATGTAAAATTGATGTGGTATCAAATAAAGTATAGGTTTCATGCTTTAGTGCGAAGACAGCAATCCAGTGTTTCAGAAGAAAATTATAACAAACTGCATAAACTGTACAAACATGATTTGCTTTCTAATTCTGTATATTGAAAGGTAAGAAACATGGGTAAGAAAGCTGAAAAACTGCAAAGGGTTGTATGTATCCCAATATTTTTCCAACTAAGAAACATTGCGATTCTGTCTGAACCTGTAGCTGAAAAACCAATTCTCACATTTGTTATCAAGTATATATGTAATGCCCTGCTTGCAGAAGTGTAGTAAGCCACACTTAAATGACAAAATGGTCAGAATCTGGCAGCTACAATCTTGGCACATTCACATGAACGTGATCACACTACTCACTACATCACTACACTCCAGTCAGGTTTTGAGTTGATTTTTAAATCCTTCGACTTCTGTTTAACGCTCTAAAATCCTTCCCAGTAGCTCACCAGTATCTAGCCAATATTTTAATGTGCCTTCTCCCCTCAATGTGACATTTTCTCTGCCCATACTGGTTTATTGTGTGTTCCCTTTGTATACTCCACTCTGGGGGTGACTTTTTTTATTGCTGTGCAACACCTGGAACTCTCTAAAGAATTCAGGGTCTCAACCACACTGGGTGCTTTTAGGGTTGAGCTTAAAATGGCTAAAAATGAGCTTTTTTTCTGATCTGCCACAGATTTGTTTTTTGGCTTCATAATTTTCTTTACTTTTGTGTGATATACATATTATGTATTAAAAATATTCCAAAATTATTTATTTTAAACATGGTAAACAAGTTTATAAATAGTAATTTATTACTAATTTGTGTGATTCTTTTTCCACATCTGATATGACATGACATGTGATATGAGTAGTGTCAATTCTGCCATTTTTTGTCTGTCAGAGGACAACACTTCTGTTTGTAAGTGTAAGTACAAGACCCAAATCATTTTCAAGTTCAAAACAAGTATAGTAAAAGTATGATTTTCTGCTCATTCAATCGGCAAATATGCTAGATCTGGTAACAATTAAGCACATATTTAATTATTTTAGAACGTGCATACTGTGAATTCAGTTAAAAAACCCAAATGGCTTCAAATAATTGTCTCTGGCTCTAAGTCACTTCCTCTGCAGTTTAGCACTGTTAATCATACTATCCCACAACTGTTCTTGGTCGCTTGCTTTGGACTAAAGCTCAAGATGACAGCTGCTATCTCAACATAAAAGCAAACCAACAGCCTATGTAGACAATCAGAAAGAAACAATCTCCTCACCCCGTAACGGAAGGTAAGAGAAATAAAACTGGCACCATAAAGCAGAAAACAAATCACTTAAACTAAAGAAGGCATGCTATTTTTTTTTTTCTAAATGCAGCTTTTGTAAAAACACAAAAACACTCCCAGAATTTTGTAGGGATAGACTGGACGCATGACCTCATCCACACAGCTGGTGCGGTTGAAGCCATTTCTTTCCAGAGTGAAATGAAGTTAATGTTGGAAAATGAGGGTCGGCTCCGATAATGGGATTCTCGGAAATCACTGACATTGCTTCCTAAAGCTACAGAAAGCACAAACAGACACATAAGCACGGATACCGCTATCTCTCTGACCCAGCTCTCAACATCTACATGCGTAAAACACACTTACTGTATACAAATTTAAAGTGCAGAACAAATGGCTGGAGGCAGATTTGTAAACACTGAATCACAATATGACAATGACCAAGATCTTGCTTCATGTAAGTAAAACACTGAAATACAGGGTGACCTGCAAACAATGATACGGCCACCACTGTCCCCAGTTTTCTAACCTCCTGAGCTGTCAAGGAGGTTAAAAATATAAAAGCTCAGTTTTGATGTTCTCTTAAGGTAGCATATTATAAGAAAGCAATTAATGTTATGCATTTGTTTTCAAAACAATTTTCTACTTTAATGTATACTTGAAATATTTTGACCTGCATTTTTAACATGTATAAAGAATACTACACTATAGTTATTTCTGGTACAACATGAATTACAGATCCCTATATGTCACTTAAAACATGAATGCATTCAGAAAGAAAATTCACATCATACCTCAATACCTCAAAACACCTCAGCGGTTGGCTGAGATATTAAATGTATTACAATGACAAAATAATTGCTTCTTAAATTACTCTGCAGTCCAGCAAAAGAACAGGGCTAGATAGGATTTTTGTTTGGCTGCTGGTGGAGATTTTCTGAGTGTCCATTACAGAGAAATGCTTGTCATGAGATCCTCGTATTTCTGTGCCCTGGGCCAAAACCTTCTACAAACATAAAACATTTTCTTGATGCCACTGCATTTGATGATATGAGTGACTGCAAGAAAAATAAAAAAAAGATACAATTCCCGTTTTAGTATACAGTCTGCCAGAATTAAGTTCAAACTGAACGTTGCTTGTTTTTTTTAACATTAAAATTCTCTAATTCTCTTTTACCTTTCAGGTCAGTCTCATACCCTTTCAGTGCACTGCAACATGAGAGCAGATTATTTCATCGCTACATGTTGCATTACGTAGTGAGCACCTGTCTCTCCCCTCTTTCTCTCCTTCTGCCTTCTTAGAGTGATCGAAGGCTCACAGAACAAGCAGATCTCACATCAGAGGGAATTACATGTACTCTGGAAAGCCAACAAAAGAACTAAACAATGGGGCAGGAGAATGGTGTTATTTAAGCCACTCTTTGAAATGGAAGTATCCCACACACAAGTTGAAGTCGGGGGCAAAAAAAAGGGCAGAAAATGTCACAAGTTTTTGATCCTAAAAGTTCCTAAAATGATAAACGGCACCTCAGACTGGAATGAAACTGGAGCTGTGGAAAAACCTGGTGAGGTCACCTATTTCAAGTGGAAAATTTGGGCTTCTGTGATGGACTTGTTTTTCTTTTGACTAAAAATAAGAGTCATCAGACAGCGAGAGACTTTGCTTACATAGCATTTCCTGGATCAGCTCTTTAATCAATTCAAGAACACCTGATTGTTTGCTTTCTTCCCTGTGTACTTTACTTCACTCGCAACTGGACAGAACACAAACTGCTTTCTAGCCAGAAACCAATGAAGATGGCTCATAAGCATGGATCAATAAACAGTATTTATAATGTTATACACACAGACCCATGCATATAGTCATTAAAAACACAAATCCATTTTCCCACATTTACTATCCTCTTTTAATGCTTAGTAGGCTTCAAAAAATGAAATCCTTGGCTCAATTACTCTGTTTTGCACATTATGCACCTGAGCACCAGGATTGTTCCAACCTGCAATAGAATGACCAGAACAGGCTATGGACACAGGCACATTCATGCGGACATGTCCAGGGTGGCTAGGAACCACGTTTCCAATGCTCAGTGAAAATCTCTAACATGTCCCTCTGCAGATTTCTTTAAAGAATCAAATGCTAAATAACCAAAAATTATATTTCAGTTTTAAAAATGGGGAAAGTTCATGTGCCAGAACAAAGCAACATTAAAGATTTGATAAGGGCAAGCATGGCCAATGATTTGGCTTGTAAACGTCCGGCCAACCGCTTAAGAGATTCATCCTCACAAACATCAGACAATGGGACAGGCCCAAAAAGGTTTTCCCGACCAATGTCTCCCACACGCCAGATGAATCCTTAGAAGGGTGACAAGATAAATTTGATATAATATGGCCATTCAAAAGAAAAGAACACAGGCTTTCAGGGCAATTATCATTCTAAGCATTTGCTATTTCCTTTCCAGCAGCAGTTATTTATTATAAGGACATGCGCTCACAGCAAAGCCCAAAAAGCACTCTCTTCTGGGAGACTGGAGTGTCTCTGTAGAGATCTGTTTAGTTCTGCTTCTCTGCGCTAAATAAAACAGCCTGGGGGCAGAAATTAAAACAGAAGATATGCATGCCGCAAAAGTAAAATAAGCAAAGACCTTTAGTTTTATAGAAATCAAAGTTTCTGAACATCCACCATTGCTGCTGTGACCTTGCAGTTCTATGGTTGCCATGTGAAGCATCTGCAAAAGCAGAAGTGCTTTTATACCTGTAATTTGTAGTTGCTGCAGTATTGGAAAGGAATCATCTATATTCTCATTCACTGTGTGTGGTGATCTAAAGTGGGCTCCTTTGATTTTATCTCTTTGGATCTACTTCATGTGGAAAAATGACAAAACATTTTTGGCACTATGTCGATGAGCTTGATTCCAAGTGTTTTTAAAGAGAGGTTTTTTTCCCCCGTTAAGGAACAAGAAAGAGGGTTAATCAGGAAGACCAGGAAAAGGAAATGGGTTGAGGGAAAGTTGGAAACTCTCTTGAAATTCCTTTGTTCCCCGGATTCCAGAAAAGAGGAATCTGACAAAAGCTGACCTTACCTATTTAATTTACAAAAACCAAAGGTTACTTTGTGTTTCTACAAGGCTAGGAATTAGGAACACGTCTCTCAACTAAAAGACTAAAGGTTCTAGAAGCAGCCAACCTGGGTCTAAAAGCCAACATACCTCACTTTCTTTCCCTGTTCCTGGAGCACCTTAACCAGCTCGGCAATGGGGTACTGAGCCTTGGCAGCACACAGACCATAACCTAGAAGAAAGAAGTTTAAATACATGAATCACAGAGAAAAGAAAAATGCAAAGCATTCACTTTGAAGATCCAGGTTCATAAAGCAAAAATAATCTTTAATTTTGATGTTAAACAGTTATACACTTTTAGCTATATGCATTCTGCAAATTATTTTCTCAGAAGTGTACAAACACCCTCTTCAAAGGGGCTCACATTTTGTTGTTAATTGGTGTGTCGACTTCTTTATGGCTCATGATCTTAATGATCTTAAGACCCGAGAAAGCAGTTCAGGTGCAGGTCCCACAGCAAATGCATCATATATGCAGATCTTTGGGATTAACACATTACCTACCTAGTACTGGCAATTTCTATGCCTGTATAACATTTGGTAATAAGTGGAAAGATGTCTTTACTCAGAAAAAACAGCATGTTTGCTAATCTTCTATTTGAATTTATCTATACATTTTTAAGCATACTTGTTCACATTAATTCTTCCGTAAGTTCTTAAAAGATAGCCATTTCTCTGTATAATACCAGGATTTCCTAACCTCATACACAGAAAGCTACACTAACATTTTATGTAATGTGGTTAACCTACCTCTTTAACACAGTCATCGATTAAACAGCTCATTTAACAAAATCTTCATGCACTGCTGCTCAACCCAGAGTGATTTTGTATTCTCGAGTAAAAAAACAACTTATGTACAGCTGATCTCTAACCCGAAACCTGCACCAAGTCCAGGTCTCTAAGATCTCCCAGGCGCAGCGTGGCTCTTGCAGAGCCTGTGCTTTGACTATGACTGACAACAATAAAAACCACTTCAGACAGAAAAATGTTCAAAACATTCTCAGAAAAGGCTCTTGTAAAACAAATTCTAAAAAAACCCGCAACTTGAAATGCATGATTGTGCTCCCCAAAGTTTGGAGTTAAAAAGAAAAATGTGAGGTTGACTTGACAGTAGAAGGCCCTACCTTCCCACGTTGGTTTTTTTTACATGAGGAAGGAGCTAGCCCTGGTTTTAGGAGCTGCAATCCAGCAGGTGGCACAGCTCATAGTAAGTGGTTCATTTGTGAACAACTACTTGTAGACCAGTCGTATCTCCTTGTTTTCTTGATCAAAATGCTTTTTTTCCCCCAAAACAATCTTGAAGGGTGACCTAAAAGTATGTGCTAGATTTTTTACACTCCAAGGCAAACCCTTACCTTACAGCAGGGTTTTCCAATCCTGGTCCTAGAGACCTACACACGTGCTGGAATTTGTTACAGCCAGCCTCTCAGTTACACAACTGAACCCTATTAATTCAATTAAATATTTGGATTAATTTGACCTGTTTGAAGTAAATAGTGTTTTATTGGCTTCTGGAAGCAGAAGCAAGTATATATATATTTAAGCAATATTCACATATGCCAGAGAACTAAGGTTACTTTAAACCTTCATTTCTGCTGAAGGTCTGAGCCATGATGCAGATTATTGAAAAATGCCAGAATATTCTATGCCCAAGACCACTGCAACTAAATTGGACTGCAGCTGACAGCTTTAATTTCAGTTATTTTTTGAGAGCTCTACATAAACATACAGTGCATAGCAAATACAAAGATTTAAATGAACTGGAAGAGCTGCTCTCTTCTTGATCAGTACTAAGTACTAAGTCAGAGTAATAACTTTCATCTTCAAAGAATGAAAATCACCAGGACCATGCTATACAGCCTGTGTCTGGCAACAAGTACAGAAGTGTTAGTAAAGAACTGAAAAAAATAAGTTCATGTATGGTTTATAGATAATGTTATGCAATTTCCATTAAATATTTCCATTAAATTATTCCACATGTCCTATATCACTCCCCCATCTGCCGTGTATGAAAAAAACAAAAAGGAGATAATTTCACATAAATCTTCACGGGAAACATCTGCATTTTTCTTCTGACTGGCTTACTGTGCATTATTCATTTTTTTGTGGGAGGAAAAAAGCTCAGAGAAACTTAAAAATAAATACTGCCAATTCAAACAATCAATTTCGGTGTCTGTTCTTTGGTAGAGCTGCCACGACTGTTCAATAATTGCTTTAACATCGCATGTAATATCTTCGGTCTGTAGAAGTTTATGTGAATTTTTCTCGTTTATGACAGTTCTTCAATAGTTTTTTTTCTGGAGGATTATTCATTAACATAACAAAAACAACAGCCCAGACAAATTCCGTGGGCTCATTTGAAAGGCTTACAAAGTCTGTCTTCTGGTGTCAATCACTATGAGTGGAAATATACCTACTGAGGTAGTACCCAACATCCTTAAGTTCTGATCTTTGAGAGAAACAAAAGTGCATGCTAGGAATGAAACCCTGCATACCCATTTCACCGATTCCACCGTATCTGTTCTTATCTGTTAACCACTTTATCGAATTCAGGGTTGCAGGGGAGCTGGAGCCTACCCTGGCAAATAAAGGGTGCAAGGTGGAGTACACCCTGCATGGGACACCAGTCCATTGGAGGGACACACAAACATGCACACACTCACACCTAGGGCTTATTTTCCCACAAGGCAATTAGACTACCAGTATGTTTTTTTTCAGTAAATGTGCTGCTGAACATCTTCTATACATTTTTGGACTGTGGGGGGGGAAACTCATGCGACCATGGGGAGACCACACAAACCCCATGCATATAGCACTCCTGGAATTATACCACTGCACCACCATGCCATCCATGCCAAAGATGTCCATTCCATTGCTAGGTTGTGTCCCCTTTCAAACTTGCTTTGACAATGTAATTTAGAAGGCACGTTCTGACAGGCTAAAAGTGTTGAACTACAAGGAGACCTGATCCAAGTATTCAAAACCCTCAAAGTCAACAGATTTCTTCAGAAACAACAGGTAACGTTTTCAGAAACAAACACAAACCAGAGGACATAAGTTTAAACTATATGGAACTTAGTGCATTTAGAATGGAGAACAGGAGGCACTTTATGCAACGGTTGTGAGAGTATGGAACAAGCCACAGACGTTGTTGAAACTGACTTCAAGAAACATCTGAACGGGATGCTCAAATTAATAAGTTACTAACAACCAAACGGATTAGACGATTTACATACTATCCTCTCATTTGTAACCACGCTAACGCTGTTAAAGGCATGTGTTAAGCTAATTGCGTGTTAACACAGACAACACAGGACTTATTGACAGATCTGTGCCCATATCCAAATCTGTTCTTTTGAAGAAAGCAAAACAATTACAACGATCTGTTCCTTTCCAGTAGGGAACATCAGATCAATGTATGACAGGAGCATTAAGTTTTGCTCCTTTAAGGCTGTAATCCTGCAGGTTCTATGGGTAATGCACAATCATCAATAGTAAAGAGACAATCAATTAATTTAATTTAACCAGAAAGAAAACAGCCAAACCTTTGTGTTTCTCCTTTTCAGCATGGATTTAACTTGTTCCTTCTCAATCAATTAACTGTTTGACTTATTGATTCAAATAAATCATTTAGGGTTGGAGGAGACAAAGTAGCCCTGAAGGATATGGAAATGAATTATTGATGGTAGAGGGTGTTACAGCAGCCTGTAGTATCCCGTCTAAGGGCTAAAGAACCCACATCAGACTATTTAAAGGATTCAAATTCTGTGACTGACAGAGTGGCAAGTGAATTAGAGGAATGAGGGCTTCCTCTCTGGCTGCCACCGAAGCACACATCGGTACTTCAACAGGGAACAAAGACGCTGTTGTGGAGTAAATGACTGGACCCAGGAAGATCAAACTCCGAGAACAAAAAAAGCGAAGGTCAGTAAAGTTGCTGACTAGCCTGGATTTCAAACTGCCAGCTGACAGGCTTTGGTTTCATGGAAGAATTGCTATATTGTGTTTGGCCCTCCAGTCTTGTTTATGTTGGTTGTTCTTTTTTCTCTATTAAATTAAAAGCTTTTAACTTGACTTTCTCGGCTCACCATCTGTCTTCTTTGCCGCCCTGATAGAACCATAACCTGTTAACTTTCAAACACCTCTGTTCAGCAATAAACCAAGCTGACATCATATTGTAGATGAAATTATGTTATTGGACCCTTTAGGTCTATAGACACCAAAGAGGACCATGAAAACCAAGGTTAACCTTCCTTTAGGATAGGACAACTTAAAAAATAAATCTATCTACAAAGGCCACATTTTGCTTTCCTGTCACCTTGCCCAAAAAAATGAAATGCCCATTTTGAGGAAAGGCTACATAAGATCTCTAACTTATTTATTCAGAATAAGTCTGAATATTGCAGCAATATTTTTTTACCATTTTAAAGCTCACACACAAGCACTCAGAAGACTTTGTTGTAACCATCTGGTAGCATCTGGAGTTCCATGCTGAAGATGGAAATGGAGCCAGAGCAAATACAACCATGAACCTAATATTACATTTTAAAAGTCAATTCGCATAACAGGATTAAAGAAGCATCAGTCAGTTTAATCTATCTTGGGGCTTTGGGACTTGCTGGGCATTCATAGCTAATATAAAGGGATCAGGAAGGACTCAATAAAACAAAGAACATTTATTGACAGATCAGAATATTTTACATGCTTCCAAGCGGGTCCCTACTGACATCCAATAATCATGTAACTAATATAACAGCAAGCTTCATCTCTTAATTTAATTGTCATTCTTCCAAAGCAGCTCAGAAGGCCGCAGGGCTTTACAGAGGCTGCAGGATGGAGGTTGGATGCAATCAAAACGGTTTATATGAAACCTTGGAAGTAAAAATAAATGTGACTCAATACCCAGGCTTTTCTCTCCCTTAGGCTGCCGTTTAATACAAAAAAAAAACTATTTACAGGAAGAAATGAAACTATGAAATTTCAACCTTATTTTTGGCTTTTTAGCAAATTTGACTGTTTCTTTTAGGCCTTTTCTAGGAAATCACATGATGTGAAAATCTGTATTTTGGCCAGATGACTGGCACCCAGTTGCACATTAATCCCTGGTCTGATGGGTACAGTACCTGGAGTGATGATAATGCTGTTGGCCTCCTTGATCATCTCTACAGTTTGGTCCAGGTTGACCTCTGTATGGGTGCCGGTGATTTCCATAGGCTTTCCAGTGCCTGTAGATGATGTTCCATATCCTCCGAGGATCACATTGGCCAAGGAACGGTTCATAGCCTGTTGGCAACAGCACCGACCATCAGCCCCTGGACAGATCTCATCACTTCCACCTTAGGTACTGTCATAATTTAGATTTTTGCTTTTGACATCTATAGTTTAAGGTACACTTGTGTGTTGTTCACATAGCAACAGTTTCATCATAACTCAATGGAGTAAAAAATACATGATATGATGTATTTTAGGACAGGATTAGAGTCCATCCCATGTGAGTGATATGATATTTCTGTACATGGATGCAACTGAAGGGCCAGCATCTCTGCCTAAATCCTCCTGTGCAAAAGCTCTGTTCATACTCGTTCAAGTACTGCACACTTCCCAGAGAACATATCTGCAGTCACTGGAGGCTAAAAATCTATATATATTAAAAGATAAGAATGTGCTATGCTATATCAGCATGAGTGTTGCACAGAACCAAATAGAGGTTAAAGAGCTAGACTGGGAGGACAAAGAAAAGAGAATGGGTGGGGAGTGTAAAGGCTAGGAGGCTTAATAAATGTAAATCAGGGTGTCAAAATCTAAAGAAGGACAAAAGACTGCAGAATTTATTTATGCATATAAGAAGACTGAAAGCATATTGCACCACCTTCACCCACTATGAAGTGCTGCCCCTACCTAGGTGACTCATAAGAGTCATTCTGTACCAGCAGCCCCAATCGTCTAGGGGCACTGCAATTTATTATTTTTTAGAAATTACTGATAAACATACCAGTAAATTACTGATAACATGCCATGACCATGGCAGAAACCACAAGAAGAAATGGCTTGTTTCTTTATTCTGTGAAGCAATGTATGAGAGAGCATCTTGTCTAATTTAATAACAATAACAGTGCCTCCTTGTGGAAATGAAAGTGCATTTCCCAACCATTCGATATACTGAAAGGGAACTAAAATCTTGTGTGTTCAGATTCAGTGAAACAGGGTCCCCAAGGATTTATAGTTTCTGACATAACCAGGAGCAAAGTCCACTCACATCTCCAGACACTCCAATGTTTCTATGTAGAGCCAGGATTTTTTTGGGGAATCTCAATGCTAAATTGCAGAAGATAAGTAAGCTCCCACACACAACTAAGATCTTTTCAAATTATTTTTACTATTTAAAAACAACATTTCAATTGAAATGCCGTTTCTAGGGAGCTCATCTGAGAGATTTTCTGCAATGGATTTTGAGTGGAAATTGACTTAAAAAAGATTGCCTGCATTAGCTCAATTTCCCAAAATCAATATTTAAAATTTAAATATTTTAACAGGGTGACTTTCAAAAATCTTTTCTTCTCCCTTTTCTTAATTTAAAACCCAGCAATATTCCCATTGATATAGCTAAATAAGAACATATTTATAAAGAAACAAATGTTTCCTTTGCAAAGATCATTGAATGGAATCGCTTTACAAACATCTAGTTGGAATTATATATTAACCGTTTGTACATGTGAGAAATATGTGAGATATTTGGGCTTTTTACTGCGTGACATCAATTTGTCTAAAGATTGGAAACTTTGTCAACTGCATTAAGTCTGCTGAGCTATAGGTGTGCCCAAAAGAGAGTCTCACCTTGGAATAAAGATAAAGGGCTACACCTTCCAAGGTTTTAATAAAACTCTCCTGTTACAGATGTCCCTAAACATGTGAATACAGAATCTTGCTGGGTAGCAGCTGTTGGTCCCCATTGAGTGAACTCACTCAGCCCCAGGGTCACCACAAGCTAATTCTTGTAGCAGTGTGGGGACATGTGCAGACCCACTCAGGGCATGCCTGGAGACAGCTGTGGCCAAGCTCAGTGGAAATCAGGAGCACCTCAGCCACGTGCCTGCCTGCTATCCTTACCACACACATGATGTAGGAGAGGATGGCGCCAGAGGAGCCGATGAGAGCGCCCACGATGGTCAGCAGGTTGTTATTGAGCAGGAAGCCCTCGGCGCACAGCGCCCAGCCCGAGTAGCTGTTCAGGACTGTGATGACCACCGGCATGTCCGCTCCTCCGATGGCTGCAGTCAGGGTCACGCCCTGGGAGGGAGAGGGGAAGATTAGGAGACGCACACACATAGGCGTCAGCAGTTGGCTAGGAGCCCTCCTTGGAAAAGAAGGCGGAAAAAGGGAAGAGCCATCTTTGCACGCATCAAGCACTTGGGCGTTGAAAGCCCCATTTTACGTGGCAAAGCTCATTTCCTTTCAATCAGACTGACAGAATGTTTTTACAGTCAATTTTACTGCTTTTCAGGCACTTCAGAAAATATATCATCCTAATAAAAGCAGTAAAATATCGAAGCAAACTTTTAGTCTTGCGACAGATGATTACTAGTAGAAAAAGTGCTTTGGTAGAAAACCAGACTAGTGTAGACTTCCAGAGCTTTTTTCACTCCCTTACAAGACCAGCTCATCTTTTTCACACTGTAGCTAACTTTCCAAAGCCAGATTTAATAGAAAAAAAAAGATTTTTAATAAAATAACTGCATTATCTTTTCTAAATTTGTCTTTAATCTTATTGCAGTTAGTTTCTGAAAATAGCTCCGCTTTTTTAACAGCATTAAGGCTGTCTGAAATCTCACTGCAGATCTTTACTGTGAAATACATGGATAAAGAAAATGCTTGTTATTGCAAGAACATAGGCACATACTCTGAAAATGTGTATATTACTGAGCAGCCTTAAACCATTACTAAAATGCCAAAAATTTAACAGCAGTTAATGTTAGAAATGACTGAGATGTCCTGCATAGGACAGTCGGTCCCACAGACTCCAAATGGCAATGCGCATTACATAAACTCCTGCTGCAGAAGAACACTGCATCGACCTAAACTAAGCATAAACGTAGTGCACATAATCACTGGAAAAAAAGCAGGTCCCATAAAAATTTTAAAGGACTCAACATGTTTCCAAAAATATACAGCTTGCACTCAAACACCTAGACCAGACTACAATCTTTTATTTTATTAAGCATTCCTTGCAAAAACATTTAAATAAATTTATATGAATTCAGGACCCACTTCACAAGAGAAGAAACAGAACACATATTTTAGATCTGTTTTTCCAATAGGGTTTGGAAGCTGAGAGAACAAAGTATATTGTTCTGGTAATTGGAAGGGGGGCAATGGAGGTGTCTTAAGAATCTAGAGAAAATGGTTAACAACTGGCTAGTATCAACAACTGTATCTCTCAGGTGCATCACAGGAAGAAAGGAACAGAGGTGTTCACTGAGTTGTACTCTGTGTGAGACACATTGATCAAATGAATCTCTTCAAAAGCTTTCCTTGGTTAAGTAAGATCTGGGTAAATGATTAAGGATCATCAACAGTCTGAAACAGAAGATAAAATATAGAGGCAGGCACAGAGATACAAGAGAGATTAAAGGACACAGGAAGAGACAGAAAGACACAAGGAGAGAGATGGAAGCATGGAGCTCTCGCCTGGCACTTGTCCTGCTCATGCGTAAAGACCAGATTCTAGTTAAGTATTTGAACCTTGTTAAGTCGGCTTGCCTCTTAACGATGATTTCCTAGAGAGCCCCTAGGTGAAAAATGGTCTCTTCTGATCAGTGGACGAATTTTTAGAATAGAGAGATAGGTTTCCCATTCACTTTCTAGCATCCAGATATATAACAGAGTGATTTAACGGAAGGTAGTATTATTTAGTTTAGAAGGCAGCTTTATCTCACTTGTTCGGCCATGTGGGTGTTATATAGATCTTTGAAAACTTGGTAGCAGTCTGGGGTTTTTCTGGCTGGTCTGGACTCTGGGGCGCCTTGTTTATTGTGTAACTTGTTTGTTGTATGTTGTGTAGTGTTTTTTAGTGTGTGTCACTGCTTAACCAAGTGTGCCTGATTTATTATTATTTTAATTAAAGCTATGCTAGAGAACAAAGATCTCAAGTGCTTTAAATCACACCAACCACTTGGTTATATTCTTGGCGTAATCTTTACAGATCGGGGGTTATAATGATTTATTTTACTTATTGATTATCCCGCTCAGTCTATTTTATGTATTTCTCTTTTTATAAACCCCCTATTTGGAACAGTAAGTTCGAATAATTTACTTTTGTATAATAACTGTAGTCTTAACTACAATTTTGGGCACGACTGAATCCTCTACACAGGAACTATAAAGGCAAGATGCAGCTGAAGAAACCTGTTCCCAGTTTGAATTGCCATTCCTCAGCCAGGGACATCAACAGACATTGAACACCATAGGCAAGTTGACTGCTGAGATGAGAACACTGTATCCAAACTCCATTTTCTTTGCTGGTGCTGAATTATGGATTATCTGTTGCCTTGTATAAGCAATTGGAAAGATGTTGTAGAACCACAAGAAAAAATAGCTTTCCACCATTTACTCATAAAATTTAGCTGATGAGTCCAGCTGTCTTTTTTTTTTAAATCTTATTACGTGTTTTCATCTTCCAAAACACACAACATAATTCTTCATTCCAAAATAATGATCTCAATATTGCATTACTGCATTACATTTATAAAGAAACAATATAATCACATTACATTTTAAATTGTTTTCTTAATCATCACTATGTCTTTTATACTATTATGTCTGTCTCAACAGAAGGGATTGACTGTATTTAGTCAGTATCATTTACAATGATTGGGTATTTTACTAAGAAATTACTTTATGTATTTATTTTGAGGTTAACTCTTCCCCTGTCGCAGGTCATTAACCAGCAGAAAAGCTTCCCTGTCTAGACATGCCCACTCAGGGCTGTTTGGCCTGGCTGTAAATGAGACACAAGACTGCTGGCTGATGTTCACCTGAGGTGCAGCTGAACCACAGTGGAAAAGCCTTCCAGCTACACCCCAGCCAGTCCGGCCAGCGCAGCTGTGACTGGAAAACAGCAGTGGAAACAGGGTACAAGATATCTTGCTTTTAAGACTTGCCTAATGTGTTACACACCAGCAAAAAAATTTCTCAGGTAATCAGATTGACAGGTAATCACAACCACATCGAAACAGCCAGAATCCAGGGTGGTTTTCAAAGTAATGGCCCTTGAATTCCATCTTCGGTGGAATGCTCTTTAAGTAAGTCAAGCATTTCTAAGGATAAAAAACAAAAACTTTTCTGACATTTAATTGTTCTTCCAAAGTCTTACTGTAAAACATCTTCTATTTACCTTGCGTTTAACACTATATGAAATGCTAAGCCTCCGAAATTTTTAATAAGACTTTTAATTTGATAAAACAAACATAAAAATATATTTGAAACTTCATCTATGTTGTAGTGTAGAAAGTTTAGCTGCCAGAATTTGCATTCTGTATCTTTAGCTTTTGTATGCTTATTGTCCTGATATCAATTTAATTATTTCTAGAGAAATAATGCACTGATTAAAGAGCACTGTTCAAGAGACTTTAAGACTGGAATTTAACATTCTTCCTTTAAAAATGTTTTCTCATTATTTAAAATGTATAGCTATAGCTGTGTTTATCTGCATTGCAAATCTAAATCAACGAATTGTTTTCAGTAGCTATTTTGTCATTCAGATACTAACTTATTGTACATGCATATTTTTTAATCAATGTGTATGTTTATACATCCTTAAGTTTCATTACTCTTCCATACTCAGGAGTAGCCACTGGGGAATCAGGGGTATTTTTTTTAGTTATTAATATGTGCATGTGGTGAGACGAGAGATTATATGATAAGCCTGAATCCTCAGAGCAACTGGATTTTTTATATTTGTATCTTTAGTGTCAACCTAGGTCAGGTGCATGTTGTTGCCAACTTATCTTGAGAGAGCAGCATGTTGACTCACTTCCTCGTTTACCTCACTTCGTACTAATAAACGTCAAGTGAAAGGCAGAGCCATATGCTTACCATGATGGCGGAGAGCGCCGACACTGAGCCGAGGCAGGTGATGCCCATGGTGTAGCTGGGATCCATCATGTAGGGGATCATGCCACCCACGCTGGCTGCTAGCAGCCCTGCGTTCAGGGCGTGACGTCCTGGCAAAATCAGTGGCGCTGAGTTCAGGATTCCTTTAGGAGAGACAACATCAGGTTTAGCACTGAGGCAGTTCCCAAGCTACTCGCTGAATAGCCCCTCACCATCGGAGACCTGCTTCCAAAGAAACTGCTAAGTCTATTATTCTGTTCTATTACACTGTGTGTACAGACTCACTCCCTAAAGCAATACATCTGTCCAATCAAAGAAAATATTAATTTCCCGGTGAACAATTAAAATGCCACCTAAGCGACATCGCACACTTAACCCCATCATTACAACTGAGAAACGTGGTTTTCGTGAAGGTTTCGTGAAACTGGATGCACTATTAACAGACTTCATTTAATTTTAACCAGGGTCGACAGGAAGTGATGAGAATTATTAGAGGTTTGTGCTGCACTGTGTGGCACGATTAGATGTGTGCATGAGAAATGGGGATGAGGGGAACAGTGCAGACGAGGTAGAATGATCTGAAAATATGCAATCTTGGCACCGGGAGGCATTCAGCCTTCTAGAGCTCAGACCTCCAGCAGAGCTGCCAAGTCCAGGCCTGAAGAATCCTGGTGCCTTGTGCTCTTTATTCCAAGTAAGCCCTCAGCTGCCTCATTAAGACACCTGATTAAGCTAAACTGACACCTAATTCTTACCAAAAAACTGCATTGTCAGATTTCATAAAACTGCAGGAAAATATCACCTGTAAACCTCCAGCTCTTTAAGAGGTCAAAACTCTGAAGGGCCCGATTTTGGAGTTAAAGTTCTCAATTCCAGTTACAGGTTTAATTAAGGAACAGGCTGCTCAACAGCAACAAAACTCAGAAACCAACAAAGTTGTTTGTTGTTGGATTAAGGGTTTATTGCTCTTTGACATGACATCTTCACATTGACAATCTCTCCTAAGAGATAAATATTAAAAAACAATCAGATTTGTAATGCTGATTCCTGACTCTGTTAAATCAAATACGGTTTAATAATAAATTTGGAGTCTGTGCTGGAAACAAAGTATTACTGGTAATACAATGGTGGCTAATTAACTTGTTTTGTTAATTGATTAATCAGCAATGTTATATCAAAGCCAAAATAGAATTAGAATGTGCAGTTATTTGATTTAGAGGTCTTTCATATTATTCTACTTTCATATTATATTATAAAATGGTAAGAACAACTAGCACTTTTGTAAAATCTCTGTGATGCACAAAGGATGGTTTAATAAATTATCCTGAAAGTATTTAATACTTGAATAAATTCCAGATGCCGCCGCTTTTTTTAAAATCTTAAATAGAAAACCCAATGGAAAATGGACTCGGTCATCTTTTGGAGAATTAGCTCTCGAGGTTTGCTTTCTCCGCGACTGTTCTTTTGTTTTCCTGAGCTGTAGAGATGGAATGCTAACTGGAAGTAATTTTTTCCAGCTTTGAAGAACAAGTGGAAAATGACTGGGGGCTCAGGGACTAATTGCAGCCTAATTTTGTGTGGTTGTGTCTGGCCATACATAAAACGTTGTGCATGTGCTTACAGGCTGAGCTAGCTACTGAAGAAGTGGTACCCCGATAACAGGGAGGGGACTTTTGGGGAGAAAAATAGTCTCTGGAAGAAATCAGATCATTGTTCACTCTGGGAAATAACAGCATTGATTCTCTCTATCTGCAAAAGAGACCACACCCATAAAACCCACATTTGTTTTACACAAGTACAAATTTGTTAGTCCCTGACAATGATACCATTCTGAACACTCATTCATCCCATCAAATGACACTTCAAAGTTCTAGAAATACAACCTGGAAGAAACCGGCAGAGTTGCAGAAATATGTATTAACACCTTGTGTCACAATCACGAGAACTTAAGTCTTTTGATGCACTCAGAAGGAAATTATGATTTTGTGAAGATCTAAAGGCAAACATTACTTTATGTGGGGAGAGTGCCATGCTTTTGTATTCTCCAGACGTCACCTTTCTAGCTAGGAATGTTACCTTGTCTTTGCATAAACGGAGTACTCATAGCCAGCTTCAAGCCAGCTGTATTATTCAAATCTATGCTTTCTGGAATTAAATCATAAGCGGATTTTCATCATCACATGGCTCCCTGAAGGATCAAGTTCCTTGGCATGTTTTGGCTGTTTCCCACAGGTCCCAGCAGTCCTGTCAATCCCCCCTTGCAGCACATTGTCCCCCCTTTATTGCCCCAGACCACATCACATCACAGTTCGAGCCTGGCTGCTTTCGACAGCTTCGGTAGTACAAAGAAAGCCTGCTGTGCACCCCTGTCATTCTGTCAATACCAATGTTGTCATTGTTTATCCATGACGGTTAGAGGATATTTCCTTTCTTCTCTATTTTCCATTACTTTTCCAGGACTGGAAATGAGGCTTGCAATTATCCAGGTTTTCCTGGATGTAACAGATGCATAGTTTATGTCCATGAGGTCTCAAAGTAGAGCACATTATTATTACAGCTACAATGAGTGCTAACGCCGGGCATACCTGAGTTAGCGACTGGTGTGTCAGTCCATAGGTTTTTGATATTCACATTCTTCAACCTAAAATGATCTTGCCATTACATTATTATGGCTATGGATATAATAGCTCTCTCAGATCAAAATACAGAATATGGCAAACAATACAGTTAAACTGAATCTAAACTTTGATATTACAGGATAATAATTACCAGGGGTTATTTAATCCCACCACCATGTGGTAAATCTCCTGCACTAGTTCACCTGCTGTAAACCTCATGCTCCATTCACACGGCACTTAAATGTGGGGAAACATAGGATTAGGTTTGAGAAAATAAAGGTACTCCATCACTGGATGAAAGCACAGAACAAACACTGTTTCAAGGAATAATCCTTTTGCATTTTGCTGCACTTTAATTTTCTGAGCAAAAAAGTGTGAAGGACCTTACATGCAACACCCTAAATAGTAGAACCTGTGGAACCTGTGTGGGAGCCACAGAAAAAAGGGGGGCATGTCCTCAGGTGGTCGGGCAGCGCACACTTACCCTGCAGCTTGCCGTAAGCGATGAGGGAGCCACTGAAGGTGACGCCCCCAATGTAGGTGCCTAAGTAGGCGATGATCTTGGTGAGGTTGGCAGCAGGGTCAGTGGCAAAGTGGGGGAACTCTATCATGTACTCAGCCACGCAGGTCAGCACGGCCGCCAGGCCCACCAGGCTGTGGAAGGCAGCCACCAGCTGAGGCAGGTCTGTGATCTGGATACGCTTGGCAATGGTCAGACCTGAACCAGAGAGAGAACGACAGGCGGACAAATTAACCAATATTCATTGTTGAAACCCAACAGAGTTCAGACTAATAAAACCATTGCCTCTGCTTGTGATACAGCTCTGATTTTGACATGTTCCCCAAACCAAGAAGTATGAGTGGGAAACAATGAAAACCATTGATAAGAGCTCTTCCGAAACTATCACAGAGCCATTCTGAAACGAAAAAAGCAGAAATGGAGAAAAGACACTATTCACAGCACTTTTTTTAAATGTTAGGTTTTCAGAGATGAAGAGACTTGGAAAAGCTGTACCAAATTAATAAAACACAGATGTATGTTTAACGTTTCAAACAGCTGCTTATGTCAAAGACATGCACTATCACTGACATGGATTTCACTGGTGATCTGGTGCCAGCAGCCATATCACCCTGCAACTCACAACTGGCAACCCACTGAAGCTAAGCATGTGTGAGCCTGGTCAGTACCTGGATGGGAGACCTCCTGGGAAAAACTAAGGTTGCTGCTGGAAGAGGTGTTACCCTCACCCTGCGGTCCATTTGGGTCCTAATACCCCAGTATAGTGATGGGGATGCTATACTTTAAACAGGTGCCGTCCTTCGGATGAGACGTAAAACTGAGGTCCTGACTCTCTGTGGTCATTAAAAATCCCAGGGCGTTTCTCAAAAAGAGTAGGGGTGTAACCCTGGCATCCTGGCCAAATTTTCCATTGGCCCTTACCAATCATGGCCTCCTAATAATCCCCATCTATGAATTGGCTTCATTACTCTGCTCTCCTCACCACTGATAGCTGATGTGTGGTGAGCGTTCTGGCGCACTATGGCTGCCGTCGCATCATCCAGGTGGATGCTGCTCATTGGTGGTGGTGGAGGGGAGTCCCCATTACCTGTAAAGTGCTTTGAGTGGAGTGTCCAGAAAAGCGCTATATAAGTGTAAGCAATTATTATAATTATTATTATCAGTCACACACACGTGCACAAGCTCTTACCAATGGTGCCACCCACTGCCATGGCCCCACTCATCTGTGCCAGGAGCTCCGGGGATGGCTTCAGTGACCCCAGTGTGGCAGCCAGCCCCCCGGCCACGCCGATCATCCCTAGGGCATTGCCCAGCCGAGCTGTGCTCTGGGTGGACAAGCCCGCCAGAGCTCCAACACAGCACAAGCCCGAGCCCAGGTACATCATCTGCAGGCACACACAGCTATCAGTTGCTGGAGGATTCATTTACAACAAAGTTTTCACAATATGAGGTATTTGGTTCTATTACAGAATGATCCTATTTTAATATTAATATTTATTTGACCTCTGTATATGCATCTTTCTAGCAATCAAGTAATGTTACTGGGTATAGCCTGTTTGCCATATCAGTATGCTTTTCTATGGGTTCTCTCATCTGAAACCACAGTCAAGCCGATTCTGAAAATAAGTCAGGATATCAGCTTTGACAACATGGCTCGCTACTGTAGCTTCTTCAGAACCCAGAGAACAGGATGTGTTGAATATTGACTTTGAGTGGATTGACTTTTGAATACTTGTACCAGGTCCCATTGAAGTTGTCTTTGTTCAAATCTAAAAAGTTGTAGATCTTTTAGATTGTCTGTGTGAGACATTTCTTTAATTCCAGGAATAGAATTTATCTGGAAAGATTTGCCCAGTCTTTAATATTGCCAGTCTTCTAAAATTCAACTATTTAGAAAAACAATATTGACCAGCAGGTCTTTTCTTTAGTTACAGCTGTGAATATACTCTGTATTAGTTCAATTAAACCTTACTTTCTGAATACCTTTTGTATTATTTCCCTTTGTATTCACCAGTATGAAACCGAAAGGATTCTAAATATTTTTCTGTATTATTTGTCACACTGATGGTAAAATTACACAGTTAATCCTGTTTAATCCAAAGATTTCAGGTTAATCATGACGTGTGTAGCGGTATATACTACTGTGGTTATTTATATATTTCAGAATACTGCAAGACCTTGTCTTGCATGAGTGTTTGACTTACTGTTATTTTAACTATTTTACCTTTGTTTTTTAGAAATGGTTACTTTAGTTAATTTACAGGATTTCCTACTTGCCTTAGGATACAGTTTAATTGCACCTTTTCCCTCCCATCTCTAGTTGTACTGTGTGTGGTCAAGCTGTAGTATGCAACAAAAAGTTATAAGACCTACTTTTTCCATTGTTGGCAAACTGTGGCCAGTTTAGTAACTAGTAATAGTTTGGCATGTGGGTGGCCCTTTTAATTAATTTACTAATCAACAGTAAATTAATTAGAAGGGCCACCCACATGTCAAACAAGTCAATGGACACAGAAGGCATTTATTATTATTAAATAATCAAGACCTGTAGCTAAATAGAGCTGCAAACACAATTTTCTAAAGTCAACAACAACAAAACAAGCTCAAAGTGAGACTGTTTTGGAAGACAGATGCCTTATTTGTCTTTTTTTTGTTCGTGTGTTTACTTTTAAGACGTTTAAAGGTTAAAAGTCCTATCCATTAATAATCACTTTTGTTCTACATCACTGGTCCCTTGTCAGTGTTTACTATCCCACCACACCCTGCTAAACTGATGACGTAGTTCCTATGTTGACTGGTCAAGCCTGCAAGTAGTGGAAAACAAAGTCAGCCAGCAAGGGCAGTCTGCTCGCTTTGCCAGACAGTGCAAGCCTACAATGGAAGTTAACTAATAGCATATTAGAGTGAAAACCTTTTATTTTTCATGGCGCTCAGACTTAGGCTATCAGAGTCAAGAGAGTACTCTTTCACTGGACCAGCAAGGCCTGTCGAGACTGTCAGGAAGCAAGAGTTATTCTTTGCTGGGAGAACAGGGCCTGTGCAGGTTGTGCACTGCTCACCTGTTCAATGTTGTATCCGCTATGGAGGGCAGTGCCGTACCCCCCCACGAAAGCTGCACCAGGCAAGAGGTACAGGTAGTTGTACTCTGGTGGGTCAGTAGGGCGCTTGAACATGTCCAACATTTTCTGCGTAACCAAGAAACCACCTGGAGGAGAGATCAACAGAAAACCGTCAGTTCCACTGCTTGGGCAGCGCTCTTGTTGTTTGACGCCTCAAAATCAACTCTGCCCAGATGTACGAGCAGCATTGCCTAGATGCTAGAGAAGGGGGATCATAACTTTGTCCCTTTCTCAACAAGAACCCACAGTGCAAACATTAGGGCTAAGGATAGAGTTGTATGGGCTCCAAGATGATACCCTGGCCGACTTTCAAAACCATCAAAACCCAGCAGCGTCAGCTGATGTGCCTCTTGGAAATCCTCAGTCATCTGACCACTCAAGGTCCAAATCAGAGATTTCCAGACTTTAGGGCTCATCCTGCACAACAAAGTGCAAAAATTGCATTAACAGGTTGAGTTGTTTGGAACCCCTCCAGATTTTCCTTTTAATCTTTTTGGGGACGTATAAATTGACAGATGACAAAGAGTATTAGTACAGGCTGCTGTTAGATGGCATGTAATTATTTTTATCTTATAAAACCTGTTACAAATTTTGTTGCAGTTCAAGGTGTCATACAGAGGGATTATAAGGAGAAACTACAAGCATAGAATGTAACACCAACAACAGAAGCTCTGTTACGACAAGAGGAATCAAAGCCTCCTTTGCTCGTAGAAGAGTCCTTGTTCTCCATGCCCTCTTTTTTAAGTTGATTCTAGGAATTGGTCCAATTTCACATCATGTAAGGAAGCGAAAGCTTTTCATTAATTAGTTCCCAAATAGTGGAGCTGAGTTTGTTAAACCTGGACCAAATGAAGACATTTCTGCACAATATCTCTGGCCTCCTAGGATTTATAAGACATATCAAATTCAGAGTAAATAAAGTCTTATACTAGTGTAATCTATTTCCAAGAAGTAATCAAAGCATCTGAAATGCTTTATTCAAATTAAGTTTCAATTATAAAATATGAATGATGTATTGAAAAAGCAACTTACTCTTGAACATGTAAATAGAATAAATGAAGAATCACGAAAACAGTCATTTAATTAAGAAACAGAAAATGTATCCCAAGGCATCATCCTTTTTCATCTCCTTTCAGTTAAATCAAGCAAAACAGAATCATGTAGCTGTTGTAGAGGATAATTATTTTAAATGTGTTTGACCCTTGACCACACAACATAATACAGTAGTGGCAGTAATCGCATTGCTAATGATTCTTTCCCTTTAAAACACACCCATTAAATTAAGAGACCATGTATTACATGAAGAAAACAGTCTATTCCCCTTTTCCTGTCATTGTAAAAGCAGATACTCTAAAGTCCTAAGAATTATTTAACCAAACTTTATAAATGGAAAAAGCCATGACATTATGCTATTTCAGTAAAAAAAAAACTAAGTATGGTCCATGTGGTATGGACAAATATTTTTAAGTGAAAAGTATATGTATTTATGTTTTAGATTTGGGGGAAGTGGGGGTTTGGGGGGTTATTTAAGGAACTACCTTTGTGTGTGTAAATGAAAGATTTCTGGAATGGTAGTGAAGGAATCTCTTTATTAGGACATTAAACTCCTGGCTTCAGGTGGATAAGAGGCATTGTATACAATGGAACGCAAACAAGAGAAGGTCTGCGAAAGTAAAGCATGGTTATTAGTTAGAAAGTGAGATATGGTATAAATGTCAAGCAGTAGGGTTTTAAATCACCGAGACTATTTCCCAGTGGGTTTTAGCCAGGAGCGGTAACACCAGCCACTTGAAGGTCCTGTCTGCATTCCTAGGATTTCAGACGTGATGTTTTGTGGTTGATCAGATTTACAGAATTCTTAGCTGACATTCTGATTTTTCCCAAAACTGTGGCTCACCCTCTATCTCTGATTTAGCATGATTTATTACGATTTTGTGCTTTTGGAAGGAGTTTTATATTTCCTATTTTAGGTGTAACTGTTTTTCATGTGCTGTGTAAAGTATTTTGTTTGGGAAGCTTTCAAAGGAGCTCGACATGAATCATAATTTATTGTCTAAAAGACGCTCACTTGCCATCGTTCATGCACAGTAGAGGGAGAGAGGACCTCAACCCTTACCAATAATGTTATACCACAAAATAGCTGTTGAACTTGTTAAGGGCTGGCAAAAAGAGTCAAACAAAAAAAGGCAGTGCATAAATCCCAACACGCTTTCTAAAATATCCATTATTCCAAACTGCAAGAGAAAAACATTTTTCTTTCCCAGTTTTGGATTTTAGTTATCACCACAAAACATTACTCAAATATGGATCGACACAGATATCCCAGTCTTCAAAACTAGACCATCAAATGAATTAGTAAGTAAGAACTGGTATTGGAATTGGTAAGACACAACCTGGCAACGATGAAGGTCAATTCGGTTATAGTACCCTGGCTGTTGGTTTATTTCTTCAACAACAACCATCTCGCCAAATAGTTAGCAAATTCACCCAGTCCAGTCAGAACTTTGCTTTGAATTGCTCATCAACCTCCAGGACTCAGTGGTGTGAGAAGTTCTAACTCACTTGTGGATGCTTACCAGCAATGTTGACAGAGGAGATGAAGGCTGCCAGCACGGCCAGGACCTCTGCTGTATTGGTCGGTGTGTAGGCCCCTCCCATCAGAGAGAGCCCACCCACTGCAGTGAGACCTGTACAAGACGTGGAGAGAGTCAGTCACAGCTCCAGTACTGTCCTCACATCCTAAAATCTCCAGTCCCCACCAGATGTAGATGACAACAAGTGCCAATAAAATAGGTTCCTGGTTATTGCAAGCTGCCCACATGCAACTTAATTTACTTAAACATCTACAGATTTTGCCAGTGAAAGGCAATCAGAGCACAGTATTGTGCCTTCAGACATCAATGCATGCACCGCAGAAATCTGGAAAAGACACATAATAGAAAATACAAAAATTAACAAATTAAATAATAATCACATGTATACAAGTTCTGTGCGGTAACCAGCATGCCGATTTGCATGTTAGTTGTGTACACACCAGATGGAGCCCAAGCTCTAAATCTGTTCACGCGCGAATCCCGCTTGGCGAGAGTTAAGCATTTCAAGTTTGACGCACATAATAAACAAAATGGGAGAACATCTCAGAGCAGCAGAGCACAAAACCATCAGCAGTTCCTGCTGGGATAAGGAGACTATGCAGTTGTATGCTAACTCACAAAATGACTTAATATAGTTACTTACAATTCACTGAAAAATCTCTCTATACAGAATATTCGGTTGCAACAGAAACCTTTTCTTTCACCTTTTCTTTCAACAGTTCTGAGACAGTTACGCAGCTGTATATACTGTATGGCAACGAAACATGAAGCACTGTAACAACACCAGGCAGCAACATCATCGAGCTGCTCTTACCTGACATGTTCTGAACTGTGCTACAGTGCATTAACAACTAAAGAAACTGCCAATATTCAATCTCCATAACCATGGCAAAATTACGACCCTGCTGCACTAGCCCGTATCACAGCCTGCTTGAGGTTACTAGGCTACAACATACAGGTGGATTAATGTGTTCTCAATGTGTGCTTGGTGCATCGGCACAGTTTCATATAAGAGACTAACTCGACATCAAGTACGGTAGGGCACATCAAGCTAAACAGCACTAAGCATTTGGCTGGTGTTCGATATCTGTTCGCCACCTCTTCTTTTCTCAACTAATTTTTTTCAGGTTTAATGCAGCAAATGCACAGTGTGGCTTTCTTACACAACCAGCCGCACTTGTAGAGGCGGCAAAGATGGACAGTTCGCACCGGAACCCCACCAGCATAAACCAACAGTCAAAAATTAGTCATGAAGCCGCCAGCAGCACCGTCTCGCCGACAGCTAAGGTGAGCAAAGCAGTGATGATCTGAGAGCGAAACTCAACACAACCTTGTTCTTAAATCCTGTGCCATTTGGGTGACGGACTTAAACCACAGATGTCTAACCGGGGGTGCCTTAGTTTTCAGGACCTAGCAAGTGAAACCCATTCTCTGCTTTGAACTGCAGCCTGTTTACTACTTATGCTTTTCTAGAGGTGACCTAATGAAGGAAAAGGGATATTCTGGGTGTCAAAGGTTTCAGATAGATTAAAGACATGGTGAAATTAGGCACCATGATGAGAGAAGGAAAAAATAACCAAGACGTTTCTTATATCAAATTAAATCTCTTGTTTGGGTCCAAGAAGTCCTATTTTTACTCCAGTTTCAACTATTATGGTGACAGCTCAAAAGAAAATGAATAAGGAACAAGTTCAATGTGTGATTCATCAAAATGGAAAGGAAAATACATCTGTGAACAGTATGTGTTTATATTTTTTTAATATTAATAATTGAAGATATCCACTGGAAAACATCAGAAAACAAACTACAATTTGAAATTTTATTAATTTATAACTAGCATAAATATTGGTGTGCTTACATAAATTTTCAAAATAACTAAATAAGATTCATTCATTATGGAATAGCAATTGGAAGTTGTGACTTCAAATCCGAGCTGAGACACTGCTGTTGTACCCTTGAGCAAGTTATTTCACCCTTATCGTCCCAGTATAATACCCAGCTGTATAAACAGTGCAAATGTCAGTCACTTTGGATAAAAGCATCAGCCAAATACATTAGTAACAGCAATTATTAATATTTCAGACACTGACATATCTTATCCATATAATTAGATAATGTGGCTGGACCTAAGATTGTTCATTTAATACAATGTATTTTATAAAAAGCAATTCAATTCAACATTTTCCAGTCATTTATAACAATTTGTAACATCTGCTATATAACTCTAATAACACTGACAGATGTGCTGATGTTCCTTCCTGATATTTCTTCACACCACACCACTTGAAACAGGTAGGGAAGAGTCTGTTTAGTATCATAATTCAAGTCTTTTAGTAAACTTTAGCAAAAACATTATTTGATCATGACAGCAAATGAAAACTAATAAGTATATAACAGAGACAGAACAAAATATACCTTCATAGTTCCTTGCATTTCCCTTCCAGAGTGATTTAAGTGAGGGGAATTTAGGCTTTCTCCAAATTAAACAGTGAAACACAAACCACGAGTGGAAACTATATGGGAGTGTATTAAAAACCGAGAACAGCAGGCACGTCTTTAACCAAAAGGTTGCAGGAGTATGGAACAAGCTACTCGGCCATGTTGTTGAAGCCGATCAAAAAAGTTTGTAACTACCAAACTGGCTAGATGGGCTGAGCGGATTTCTCTTCTCTGTAACCTTCTTATGTTATTAGGTGCCCTCCTCTCACCCAGACAGATCAAGCTTAAGAGGAATCAGATTTGCAGATGTAGATCTGGTTCTGCCAGACAAATGCAGTTTGAATAGCTGACTCAGAAATGGCTGATGGATAATCCTAATTAAATAAATGCTTCAGAAAAAGACATTTTAAACTACATTAATTGAAGTCCTTGAAGACATTAAAATGGCCACACTGAGAGTGCAGTAGGTACAGATAAGTGTTTAGCAGGACTAGCTCAGTCGCATTTTTTTAACAGCCCTGCCTACGTGATGGTTTGTTTGATGTCGACCACCATGGGCTTATTAGAGACAATTAAACCATTCCTAAATCCACTGCTGCAGGGTACGAGCTTAATGAACCACGAACACTCCAGCTATTTCACTTGTGGTTCCCACTTTGGAAATAAAAGCATCCTTATGGGGGATATCAGAATTATCAAAGCCTGTCTACGCACACGACATAATGAATGAATAAACACATTATGCATTAGGCGGTGTACAAGGCAGGAATTTAATCAAGGCCCATGGATCAAGGCATAAACACTCACAAACAAGTCCTCCATTAATGTCTATGGAAATTCAAACCCCGCCGAAGTTACTGTTGAAGACTGCCTTTTATTCAGTGTCTGGTTTACTTCATTCTGATATACAAAAAGTTCCATGTATAAGCCTAGTGTTATTACTTTTAGAAAATAATTATTTTAGCACAATTAAAATTCACTCTTTATCCAAAAAACAATCATTTGAATTATATAAACTTAGTAAGTGGAATACTACTGGTATTAATTCTGGCCTGGGAAGTATTCTGTGAGCAGTGTACATGTCTACTTCTGGGGACGTTTACTCTGAGAGCTCTAGTTTCCTACCATCACCCAGATCTGTGCTGGCTTTGCTGGCTTTATTGATCGCCGTTTCTAAATCGTCCATGTCTGGGTATGTGCTTTCAATGGACTGACATCTAGAGTAGCTCTGTTTTATGCCACAAGTTTTCAAAAAAGCCTCTGAGCTGCTGCAACCCATACCAGACCTTGATAATAATGGACAGACCAGTCTTTGTAATAATTGTCAGCAATCATCTTTCCATTATCATATGGCTATATAAGAACCATGTTATTTCAGAGATGAAAAGGAGCTACAAAATATGAATGAAGTGAAAAGAGATATCTTTGATAAACCATATCAAATCTGAATGAACACAATCATATTACCAAAGGCAAAGAAGCAAGAGTGTTAGTGCTATTTTGTCGAAACAAAGTTACATCACTGTTGCATATACGTGATCTTATTAAACTTTCGGTAGACTCACCTGAGATAGCATTGGTCACGGACATAAGTGGAGAGTGGAGGGCCGGACTGACACCCCACACCGTGTGGTATCCCACAATTCCAGCCAGGCCAAAGGTTGTCACCATCTGAGTGAAGGCGGCATTTGGAGAAGCAATTCCAAGCCCAAGCAGACTGCCAATACCTGGACAAGAGATGAGTCTTAATCCAAAAGCACAGGTGGAGAAGATCCACATCAGACAAGAGCAAGCACGTCTTCCCTCAAATCCCCTGTCTACACACCTAGGGTAATAAAGGGCTCCCTGTATGTTTTATGGGGTGTCTGACTGTTCATGGAAAACCCAGTAGAGTGACATCACTAACTTTTCTCACTGTGAGTCCTGTAACATTCAGTATGCACTACCTCGCTTGAAAAAAGAAAAAACAGGCAGTTATTAGAAAATAAAAAATTAGTAATTAAATGATTAAACTGCCTAGAGAGAGACATAAATTACTTCTGGGACACTTTATAATGACAATGCGTCACTTTTATTATTATGATATGTGAACTGGGCATGGAAAAGTTTAGATTATTTCAGCCAAAGATGGCTTCAGTGTATAAAAGTATCTCCCCAATTTCTCAATGGCACAAAATATAAACGTAATCTACAGATCACTCAAAGCTGCCAACCAAACTCAAGGCCATGAGAGAAACGATCTAGGAGAGTCATGCAATGACTAATGCAAGATGCACTAAGGCAAGAAGAACTTGATTTTCCATTATTATCCATCTAGCACTGTTAATACTTATATTTCAATTAAAATATATTGTTTTAATGTAAAAATAATATTTTATATAATATTATGCTGTAAAAGAAGCTAGTCCTTTCTGGCCTGAAGACAAACAGGAATGAATATTCTCAGAACCCAACTGAGTTGGATACAGTACCCAAGTAAAAACTGATTAGTATTCGCCAGTACTAAAGTCTGGGAAATACGGCACACACACATGGTTCCAACTCAGAAAATAATAAACTGCAATATGTAGGCTATCTAAAAAAAGAGAACTAGTAAACTTGTAAACAGGGATGTGGGTGGGGAGACTCTGGAGATGCTGTTAGTAATTTAGGAGGTGATTATATACCTTGTTTAGACCAGCAATGCTAAACCTTTTGGAAGCCAGTGCAAAGAGTTGCTCTGTCTGTCTGAAAGTGGGACCTTACTGATAAATCCGGTCTGTGGGAAAATGCTCGCCTACAGACTGCGAGATTTTTTATGTGCCTCGTTTTATTATACCTGGTTTCCTGGCACTTCGAAAACCAGCTCATATCAGACCAATTAAGGGACTTGAAAAGGTAGACAGCAGAGCTGCCTTGTTTTCATCCTTTGTCAGCCTTATTTCTGTTTGCTTGTTTTGCATACTTATTTACTACAACAGTGCAATAATGTTCTTGATTTTACTACTGCACACAAGAAAATGTCTTTTATCTGTGTTTATTTAAAAGCAGTTATTCTCAGCAAACATGTTACGGAATTTTATTTCTGGCCTGTCTCTTAATTTCGTAGGAGAATGCTTTGATCTGGGGCCAGTGCTCTCTTAGACACAATAAGTGGTTCTACAGAGAGGGTATTTTGTCCGGCTGTTACCGATATAGCACAATTCGGGCCTTTTCCAAACCTGCCGAGATTAAGTGTGAATTCATAATTGCATCTGGTTCCCTGCCACAGAACGAAAATCCTTAAAGTGGAAAAAATTATTCTTACATCACTTCACTGTTAGGTTACGGTGTGAGAACCAAACAAATGCTGGACGAATACCAAAGAAAAAACAATTAAAAGAGGAAGTCTCAAATTTTATCCCCTTGAAAAACCAACAATGTTAGGTATAATCTACCCTAATGGTATACATACTCTACAAATTTCAAATATTATTAAAAGAAACTGAATTTCATAAAACATGTAAGTCAGGCCACATGACATCTTTTGAGTAACAGGGAAGGAATCCTTAGTACAAGAACTTAATGGATTGGACAGCCAAATTAAGGAAAAGCTAAACTCTTTGTTAATGGTCAATTATCCCATCACTTACCAATAAAGTTGGTTTCAGCAAGGTGCATTAGAAACCTTGTTTTAATAAATATCTTAAAAGTTTTTGATCTCCAGGACTTCTGTGAAGGCCAAGAACCACACCCTTTCATACATTTTATCTCAATGATTGTTCTAGGTACCCTGAGGCGATGCCAGTAGAAATAACCCAGATCTGACTTATGTGAAACTTTGAAATTTGAGGTGAAAGAACAGTGGAGATCTATCAGTGTCTCCTGTCTCCTCACCCCCCGTGTAAACGCTGGCAGTGGTCATGGTAGCCCTGAAAGGGGAAATGGCTGCCCTCTTTTCAGCCTCGATCTCTTGAACGCTCTTGGGCTTGGGAGGAGCCGCTACGGGAATGTTTTTTGGCTGCGGAGCCGGGAAGATGAATTTGCCATCCTGTTAAAAAAACAGAGACATGCATTGGTAATCACCAGTCACTACAAGAGTATACAGGACTAAGTTATGTGCCAAGGGCAATTATTTATGGGTAAAGCCGAACTGAAATGCTGATCCATAATACACGCTGTTTCTTGGTACATTTTAAGACTTTAGTTTGCAGGCCATTTCTTCACGTCTCATGCACCTGTTGAAAAATGAATCTATAATCTAGCTCTCTCATTGTTTTTGAATAAAATTCAGAATCACTAGTATTCTTGCTGTACCCCACCACTGAACATAGGGTAGTGTGAAGAAGTGTAGCCAGACTCCTCTGCCCCACCCATTTTCAAGTTAATCATCTATTAACACATAACAGACAGCAGAGTCCCATAGGACTCATAGGTCCCGGAAGACCAGTGCTGTTCGGAGGAGAGGTGCGCCCCTCACCATGCACACCGCCTGCCTGCAAGAGACCAGGAGTCACCAGGGCTTGCCAAGAGTTGAGACTGCTCTTAAAATAAAGAAGCACACAGCTCATTTCCCGTCCACTCACCTTCATGACCACCGAGCCTCTGATGACATGGTCCATAGTACCATAGTCAAACTCGTCCTTCACCTCAAAAGCAAACCGCTCCTTGTCCGGGCTGATGGCCCTCAGGAGTTTTACAATGTTGTTGGAATACAGAGTGCTAGCCTGGGTGGGCAGCCGGCTGGGCAGGTCTGTGTAGCCAATATGAGTCACCCCCTGAAAGATTGAACAAACATGAGAAAAAAACTGTTTTACAAGGACCTGGAGGCTTTAAAGTCTTTTAAGATTTTGTTCAACGAGCATGAAAGGACAAAAGTACAAGCTTCTGGTAAACCATGCAGCAAGGTGAAAGCTGATTTGTGATTACAGCATCCCTCTTTGGATGTTAGTCATCTTTTTTTTTTAGTACACTTCCTTTGTAAAAAAAAATTACGTGTCACTTTACTGGCACAAAGTAGTATTTTGTAGTTCTTCATGTTTTTTGTCATGACTGTAATTAAACTCTCTAACAATCTGCAGAAGCAAGAAACCTGCCACTGTAAAATGAAACTTCTTCATCCAAACATTCTATTTCTACATATGGGAAGTAGGAAAAACTCGGCCAATAAAGTCTCTTTTGAATATGCATTTCTGAGGTGAAATCAAAAGAATCCCCCTACCTGTTTCAAATAAAAAAAATACAGACATAGAGATTGAAGCCGCATTGTTCCACCTTACAGACAAGCAGCGTAGCTTTCACAAGCTGCACGCTATTCAGAAAGGGGCCCCATCAATCCTAAAGGCATGCAAAGAAGCAGATGCCCTTTACTCGTACTGTTACTACCTTGTGCACGGACAGCTCCCCTGGCACAGTGGTCTCAATGTTCCCTCCAGCTTCAGCAGCCAGGTCCACCACCACAGAGCCGTCCCTCATGCTCTCCACCATCTCCTTGGTGATGAGAATCGGGGCTCTCCTCCCTGAGAAAAGGATAAGAAAATGCCTCATATGAAGGCACACTCTGGCACATTGCTTATTTCTATAAGTTACTCATTTTACTAGTCTGACATGTTATCCCAATATTTTTTACTGAGCAATGCAGGAGAAGCTCCTCGCTCCTGCTGTGCCTCGCCTGGAGTTTGAACCCCCAACCCACCAATTATGATTCCAGAAACCTCAGGACTGCTCCACACTGCTGCTCTCCGAAAGGCCATTACCCACATCCAGCAGGGTCCTGCTGGGCAGCAGTCAGTCAGGGATCTCTCGGCCTTCCCGAAAAAAATATAATTCCCATGGCTTAATACAGCTCAGAGCACATCAAATGGTCAAAGGCTCTGCTCACGTAGGAGTCCATATGTCTCCTTTTCTCCCAAGAAGTACTTCCTAGCTGCCAGAAAGCCATGTCATGTACATAAAAGGCATTTCAAATTGGACAGCTATGATTTTAAAATAAATACATTACACAGGAAGCTGCTTCAAAAGCAGGGAAATTGTTCTCCAAGATACTGACTGGTTCACAAAACTGAAAAGCACGAACTTCACCTCCTGTCATCTATCTCTTGTAAATAAAATAAGAAGATGGATCAAAGAACAACATATTGAGTCTGCAATGAAGAAGTGCTTAATATATTATTTAAAATGAACAGTTCTAGTATTAAAAATATTAGAAATAGCAACAAATGTAAAATCACATATTGGTGAGCACTACATTAAAATATGGTCAAGAAAATGAATATCAAAAGCATACTTAGGTGAAATATTAATTAAAAAACAACTTCTTTAGAAAACTGATTCCCAATAATAAAAGCACCCTCTCACGTAAAAGTTTAAAAATTGCTATCCAGATCTATAAGCATCAGAAAGGTAACAAAAGAAACTAAAATAGATAAAGGAAAGCTCAGCAGATCCAGAAGGACAAAAGTTTTGAAAGGCAGCTAAGTTTAGCCTTCCTCGTAGGCATTTTTAGAATCCTTGTAGACTTGATTGCTTGGAACACCTGTTAATGCACCAGCTTCAGTAAAAATCACAGCTTTATTATTTGACCTTGTTCTTTCAAACTTTACAGAGCACGTTATGTGAGCCAATTCAAATGCAACCCTGCTGTGTGCAGATCATATAAGAAGTAGACATATAAAATCATAGATCAGAATCACAGTTTGTGGTATTCTAGTCCAAATAGTGACTCAAGTAAAACTTATCTAATTAACGATTCAGACACTCTGACTTATACTTGTGTACCTGTAAATGTGGAATAAAACAATTCCTTACTAGTAATATCGAACAGTAAGATGCCCTTTTCAATTCCGAAATACTCTCCACTCCAAGTGCAGTTTGCTGTCTATGATCCAGGTGCCACAGGTTCAAGTTGTGGTCATGTCAACAGTCAACAGCACATTGCAATTTAAATTATTACAATTTATTAAATTTATTAAATTCTGTGAACGTTTCAGTGCAAAATAATTTAATGAATAATAACAGAATGGAGAATGTGGGAGCTGTTTTTTACATGTTTAAGATTGATTTTCATTGGACAGCACTTTGTTAATGTTGGGTGTGCATTTCTGTTTTCCTTTTATAAGAAAAGATCTTTTTATAAGAAGAAATTGAACTTGAATCCAGTCTTATTCACAAAACGAAATTCAAGAGAGGTATACTAACGGAAAAAACTAAAAACTGTTTCTGGTACTTTAAAGATGGCATATGAATAACCAGTTTCTCTGGAAGTTTTTTTAAAGGGTAAATCAGCAGTCCAGCCGAACAATCTTTCCACATCATGACTATCAGGGTGTCCACTAGGTGTCGACGTTGTGACTCTAAACTCTGCAAGAGAAAGCCATTTGCTCTGACTCAGTTACTACTAACTAGTCAGCTTTCTTTAGCCACCATCAAAGTGTGGTTCTTGTCTTATTCAGACAACCCCACATGAAGAAAAGACTCATTTGAAAGGCGGTTTATGAGCACCTTGTCTCACATTAAGACCAGAGGTTAGTCAAACAGTCCAGAATGTGTGGAAATGTGGCTAGAGAGTCCAAGGGCTGTTCTTACCAGACAGTGGTGCATTAGTCAGCAGGAAAAGGAAAGCCTACCAGGGATGAGGGCTGTGCTGATGAGGATGTCCACCTCCCGGCACTGCTTGGCGAAGAGTTTCATCTCGGCTTCAATGAACTCTTTGGACATCTCCTTGGCGTATCCTCCCTGCCCCTCTCCAGACTCCTTCACGTCCACCTCCAGGGGCTCTGCGCCAAGAGACTTAAACTGCTCCAGGGCAGCCGCTCTGAGGGGAAACAAGAGACAGAGGTAATGGGTTACACTGCAACCATATGGCCATGAAACTTAGTTATGAAACTTCATAATAACTGCCTTATTCACCCATGATACTGGAAGCACAACTTTCCCTCACCAGCTGCAGGGCTTACATTCTGGCTGGTAAATATTTAAGCGTTTGGGAACTAGGGGGTTAGTTTCTCAGAGTCCATGTTGCGCTCATCAACAGCTAACTTAACTTGGAATTTTTAAGCGAGGAATCTTCAAGCAAGATAACATAATTCTATGTAAGAAACAAAATGATATATATGAATATTATAAATATATTATATCTATATTCTAGAAAAAGAAATCCAATGCATATGCTAATGTGAAAAATGAGTTGGCAGAGAAACTGGGCGGTTTTTAAAAGCGGGCTAAACCGAGTATGAGCGAGGGTTTCCCGCAGATGGGAAGGGAAGGCCTATAATATAAATATAAAGAAGTTGTGGAGGCAAAAGAAAAATAACTATGTGCTGCAACAGCAGGTTTTAACAGTTATTACACAGGTGACCACGTGTAGCCATGGTCCACATTACAGTCACGCCCTGCGATTCCTTCACGCATTCTAAACTGACATCAGAAGAAATGGAAACAAAAGAAAATGTTTACTTGTGAGTAGTTTGGATTGTGACATTTTCCCCAAACAGTAACCACAGAGAAAACTCACACTCCCATAAATTATTCCACTGGTGCCTTCAGCTGAATTACGGGTTTATTTTCTAATTACAAAGAGGGAACACGCTTTGAAAAAATGTTTACAGTGTTTTGAGGGGAAAACAACTTATTTACCAGTCTTGAAAATACACTGCTATAAATTGTTACTGTATAGGTCTATAATAACCTTACTGTTGTTTGTTTTATTCCTGCAAATATACTTTTTTCCCCAAATTCAAGCAATCTTGTATTAGGCAACACTTACAGTAATACCATGTGGCTCCACCCCCTGGTGGCACACTGCTAAACCTGAAGATTCAAGTCATGCCTAAGTTTATTTCTTGCTTAATGCTGACACCTGCTGGCAGAGTAGGTAAATGCACCTAGTAAATGCACACTGTCATTGCCATTCACTGTCTGTGATTAACCCTGTTTTTGCTGGTAATTTTTCCATATGGCCCTTAATCACCAGTGTTAATTGCTTACTACAATAATTATCTCCTTGCTTAGTTAAACTTTTTTTTCTGCACTCAAACCTTGGTTTCACTAATTCCCCAGGATAGTGATATTTTTTGAGTGGTATTCAAAATCCTTGTCCTGGAGAACCCCTGTATCTTCTGTGTTTAATAATTGATTTCAACTTTTTAATTTGGGGAATATTAATTTTTTAATTTGCTTTCATCTCTTAGAAAGCTAACTGAGATTTGTAATTGGTATGAACCTTGTGCTAATTAGTAAGTTTCAGGGCTGCGCTCATGCAGGTGTGCTAGCTAGCTAAACAACCGGAGTTAAGCAGATTAAAAAACACGGACTCGCAAGGGTATTGTCTGATACAGCATCATTTTCACCGGTTTCTGTTCATCATCAATTCATCATCTAATAAGGGCTATTTAGTCAAAAGTAAAAGGGCAGATTCTTAATTTGCAAGTTGAGGAGAGACTGCATAAAGTTCTATACGCCATAGCTGGAAATAATGCACTTCAACAGTTGACCTGAATGCAGGAATAAGACTAAACCAGAAAGCAGATCAGTTACAGGCAGCAGCTAGCGCTGGTGATTATGGGGGACCATCTGGAACAAAACCCAGCAAACACAAGGGTCCTCCAGGACCAAAACTGAGAATCATGGTTCTGGCGGATTAATTCAGTCTTACACAAGATACTCTCAGAGTGTATTGCTTTCAACTGAACAAATATTGTTCTAAACATTTCAACCAACATTTAAAAGCCTTCTGCATTTAGAAAAGTGAGATGACTGGGCAAACAGCAGAACTGGGCTGCCCGTTCCTGCTCCTCTACTGCCAGGATCACAAAATCCAAACTCAGCAAGACAGATTTTCATCATACTTTCATTTTGAATCATCTTTATATTACACAACCAAATAAATGAGCGTCTTAAATGATAAAAATGAAAAAATTCCAAGGTTTAGAAATGGATGATTTATAGGTCAGAAAAAAACAGATGGATTTTGGATTAAGGCTCTCCAACAATATTAAAATAGGGTTCTTGGCTCTCCAGGAATAAGGTCGGCCAGCCCTGCCTGAGATGACCCAGCCTGATAGAGAAAATACAAAAACCCAGCACACAAATGGATACCCTTAGCCTATCTAAATATACTATGTCATGAAAGCATGGGTTTCTTTATTAACAACTGTCCGGTCTTACAATTGCAATGCTACGATGTGTTATTGTTCCTTTCCTAAACTCAGCAAAACTTGGTGTTCTTTCTCCTCCCTCATCTCTATGCCTGGTAATGCAGGTAATGCATTTAAAACTGTGGACAGCAGGCATGTCTGAGTGTTGTGGGTGTCTGAAACAACCTATCCACTCTATCCAGTCATGTTGTTGAATACCTTTCCTTCTTTCAAGAAATGGCTGGATGAGATCCTCAGGTCAGTTAACTTCCTACTACCAAACAGGATAATTGTGCCAAGGGGGGTTTCCCCTCATTTGTAGGATTTATGTTCTAGTCACAGTCAGTGAATAGCCCAGGCTTGAACCAGCTTGATTTCTGGGCCAAACCCTGAGGTCCATTCTCCCAGCAAGTGCCTTTATTGCCCGAGATATCTGGGAACAATTTTCCATTTTCACAGACAATGTCCTCTCCCTCACCCTCACTTCACACGTCCTCACCTGGTATCGAATCCTCTCACTATAGCGCCCATGGCTCTGGCAGCGCCTGCAGAGGCTAAACCAGCTACACCACCCCCAATGATCAGGACCTAAGGGAAAAATCATCAGACACAAAATGGAATGAAGAACACAGCGCTCAGAAAGAGTACTATACACAGGTGGGCAATTCAGTATAGATGCAGTTTTTGTGTTTGTCCTCTCAATACACCTTCATCAACAGGGAAAGTTTACATTTCAACACTGTACAAGCCTTTATTTATGTTGAGAGGCTCAAGAGAACAGATTAAAATTTAGAATCTAGTTGTGATATTCTTGACTTCATGAACAAGCCTAGAAGCGATTTACTGACTCCTGCTGTAAGAAGACATTGTAGTATAAATAGCCTTCATTAATTCAACAGAAAATAAACATGTTTACTCAAATGTTCAATGTTCAGGACCCCTGGCAGCATAATGGCTCTATAGTCCTCTTTGGTTTTAAAATAATAGAATTCAAAGGAAAAAATAATCAAGCGTATCAGTTCTTAATAAACATGTCACTCTCAACTACAATCTCTGCACCAGCAGGATTTATGACCAAGGACCACTCTGAAGATCAACATGACCATGCCATATTCACCTCTACTTCAAACGTACCACTTCAAAGAGCTATGATACTAGAGGGTTTTGCTTACCTTTCTTATACTAAGGTTTCATCAATAATGAATATGGCTTAAAGGGGGAAGAAATAATGACACCAGTGGGAAAGCTCAATCCGTGTATTTGTTGAGTAGATCTTCAAGGCAATTTTAATAAGACATAAGCCTAAATTAATTACTACAATTTACCGAATTAATGTGCAGTGACCAGATTGCTGAATAATCCTCTAGACCTTGAGAAAGACCAGGTTTTAAACCTCTTCCCTTAGAGAGTACTGTATACTATCAAACATTGACCAAGAGGAACACTGTTGTCCAACGATCATGTGTGCCAGAAACATTCAGAACAACTGTTTCACTTTTGTCTGCAAACGAGTAGGTGGAATGAACAGCTGATCAGTGTTTGGTGATTGGTAGAACTGAAAATTTGTTTTTATTTACATCCAGAATATAAATGGTGACTGACATATTAGCGAGTGCCATATACAATAATTCCAAAAATAAATCAAAGCTAATGTGCTTTCCTCAGTCATTAATAAAGTTCCTGTTTCTCTTCTGTGAATTTAGAAAACCAAATGAAACATCTGTGAATATATACACAATGTAAGAAAAAACAACAAAGGTTTACACCTTTTATTGTTTTTATACTCAAATATCAGGAATGTGCTTTGCCTTCCCTTTAAAATAAACATGCACAGAAGACTCATTCCTGAGACATTGAAAACACTCGAACATTTGATCTTATTCTATGCAATAGCAAAAACCTTTAATTTGGGGTTCAAAAATATCATTTTTTGCACCGTTTGCAATAGTTGAAATAAGTGATAAATGGTTTGGTGCTATTCTCCTTAGTGAGGGGGAAATGAGGCCAAGAGTAATTTTTCAGTTCAGAAAAATAGAAGTATAAAAAGCAAACACGAATCTAGTCCAAATTACCTCCTCCTGGCTTGCTGAGGTACTTTTCTCCCCCATTTGAACTCGTTTGCATTTTCATTTACCTTTGCGGGAGGCACTTTTCCAGCTGCTGTAATCTGGCCGGTGAAGAAACGGCCAAAGTGATTCGCTGCCAGGAGAACTGCTTTGTACCTGTCAAAAACGGGACACATAGTGAAATATGGCAAACGGCAACATCCATGCCTGCCAAACGCACACAATGGCCGCAGTTAGGTGAAGGAAAGCCTTGGGAGATGTATTTAGAGCAGATCAAACAAATGGCGATTTCATCGTCAGGGTTAAAAGGAAACCTTCCCCAGTCCGTGTCATTGAAGAAAGGGTCCAAAGGCGTTGATTTGGAGTGTTTTACTTCAACATAAAAGATGGCAACTCATGATGTCTGTACATCAAACAACACTTTACATAGAACAGTACTTGCTGGGATGTCCTTCACCAGAAGAAAGTGAAAATTAGCACTGTCCAGCGCCGCTCGGAAACGAAGGTGGGATTACTGAAATGGAAGTTTCTCAAAACTCTTTCTAAACATGTAGTAATGTAAACCAGTAATGGAACCACTAGAATCCTCAGCTACCACTGCCAAAGAAGAAGTGTTCAAAAGACACAGGGAGAGATGCATGTTTTTCAAACACAGAGTTCAACAGACAATATTATACTCCATGAAAGCTGTAAATGAAGGAAGAATTAAATTTATTTTCACAGTTTCTTTCTTCATGAAGTTGGCATTGGCCTTGAGAGGGAGGAATCATCCAGCGTAGGTGAGGAAGAGGAGGAGTTACGTACCCAGCGATGTTGGCCATGGAGCTGAGGGCGTCGTAGCCCTGGGCGATGGTCACCCGGGGCACCTGGTCCATGGCCAGCACAGTGGCCCTGCGCTGGGACAGCTTGTCAATCAGCTCGGGGTTCTGGGCCGGGTAGATAAAGCTCACCAGCGTGGAGTTTTCCTTCAGCAGCTCGGCCTCATGGACGCCCAGTGAGGGGTTAAAAATAGGAGCTCTCACCTAGAAAGACACGGCGCACAGCACTGAGGAGCAGGGCCACATGCACAGCCAGTGGAGAATGTTTCAATACTGCACTGGCTGTCCTTCAAGGCCAATGGAGAGAGATCTTGCTCTAGTTTTCATTCCACTTTTTCTTATTCCTTTTTACTTTCAAGGAGAAAAACTAAGCTGTTTTTTTCTTCTCAGGTCTTCAATAGGTTTAATATACCCATACAACCTCCTAAAACAATGATAATTTAAGACCACGGCTGTGCTTGACAGAGATTTGACTTGACACAACAAGAATCACAACATTTCCAATGTTTACAATATGATTTAAAATATGAACAGACCTCATTCTTTAACAATGGCCAGGCCATACAATACCCTACTAAATAAACTGCCTGCAAGTATCAAAAACACTGTAAAGCTCCTTCTAATAATAAACAGTGATATGTCAGTGGAGATAGAGCAGCAAATAATGGAGCATGTGCGTTCAGTGGCTAAACATTGACCGATTATACCTTTACTTTCTTACTTTATTGCTGCAGATGCGAAATTTGCTTTGAAGGCAGGTAAAAACATAATACAATACATTTAACAGAAATAACACATTCTAAAATATATTTAACATGCAATACATTTAACAGATGTAGGAAAAAGAAAGAAAAAGATGCATTTTAAAAAGTAAATGTACAGTCAACTGTCCAAATGAGCAGGTTGTTAGCTGTGGGGGTAAAAGATGACTTGGTTCTATTACTCGTGGCCCAGAATTAAAAAAAAAAACATACATATTAGAACCCCAAAATCCCTCAGCAGACAATAGAAGCTCCAGCAAACAAACATGCCCTCTAGTGGCCCAGAGTGGTGACAAAGAAAGGGGTACAGTGGACAAGGGTGCTTGTACTGCCTATCACCTCATGGCCTCAGCAAAGCGCTGTGTCTGTACTTCACAGCACACTCTGTTTAGATATATGCAAGTCCAGCATGCTATGTAATTAACAGATGGCTAGACTTTCACAAAGCATGAATAAGTGATTGTTTATCTCATGAAGTGTCTGTGTCTGAACATGCATAAATGTATGGAATCCATTAAATACAGTACCAGTTGTAAGGGGTAAAGGTGTAACAGGTCGGTGACAGCTTAAAAACGCTCACATCACAGCTTTGAAGCAATTCAACCGAAACCAGGCAGGTCGGCTTTTGCATGAACCTGTTTTTTTGTTTTTCATTCCAACTGAGCTTTTAGTTAGTTGAACTATGCAATTATGTTTTTACTTAATCTAACTTTTTAAGCACATTTTCAGTGTTAAAAACTAGTAAGTAAGTACCGTGCATCATTTGCTGTGTTTTAGAACTGTCCACTGGGCGGAGTGGAGGCACTGTGGCTAAGGATCTGCACCTGTGGCTGGAAGCTTGCCGGTTCAAATCCTCCGGCCAGCAGAGGAATCCTACTCCATTGGGCCCCTGAGCAAGGCCCTTAACCCCAGCTGCTTCAGGGGTGCTGTACAATGGCTGACCCTACACTCTGACCCCCAGCTTCTCTCCCTGTCTGTGTGTCTGTGTGTCTCATGGAGAGCAAGCTGGGGTATGCGAAAAGACAAATTCCTAATGCAAGAAATTGTATATGGCTAATAAAGTGATCTTATGTTATAAGATTCAGTGACATTGCAATTGGAATGTAGCACATTAAACTTTTGTGGTGAACCTAGAAATTATTGTTTAGACAGCTACAGGGTAAAATGAATGTGACGTGGTGAAGGCAGACTGAAGAGGGATAAAACAATTTTCCTCGCAACTATACCACCTAAAAAGTGCACTGCAGAAAGAAAGAATTCAGAATGAATTTCAAGGTGTTCTGCGACACTGCAAAGTTTTCATCTGCTTTTCTGACTTCAACAAAGCTTTAAACAATGCACAGAGAGTAAGAGACAGCAGGGAGCAATCATTCCCAATATTAGAACACAAGGTCCAGAATCCTGGAAGTTTTCTATCTCTCTCATAAATCATCCACAAAAAAAGTCTGCAGAACAAGGGGAAGGGTCCAGTTAGGCCATAGTTTAAAAAGTAAGAAGGTTTGAAGGCCTGAGTTGGAATCCCCTGTTGTAGAATGTGGAAAGATAAAGAAAATCCATATTTAATTCCCTCAAACAAACTTTGGTTACTGTCACTGAAATGTCTGAACAATCTTCAAAATCTTCATAAGCTGCCCAGTGAGGGCAAAAGACTAAAATAAAATTAATTGAAGCAACTGGTAATTTTTATTAAATAATGAGACCAATTGGAACTAAAAATGGAATTAACAGGGGATACTCCAGCACAATGTCTGAATTCCCCTGCTTAGCCTGATCAGTTGTGCCCAACACACAACCCAACACACACACACCTGCTGTTACACTAACAATTGTGGTCCTGAGCTGAAGTTCTCTAGAAATTTAAAGGGACAGAAAAAATGGCAGGTTACCTTGACCACAAGGTCGGAAGCCAGGACATCTTTGGTCCCTTTGATGGTGGCCCCAGCCTGAGCGTACTGGTCATCGGAGAACTTGGAGCTCTCTCCAGCCCCGGACTCCACCACCACGCTGAAGCCCTGCTTGATGAGGGCCTGCACCCCAGCAGGGGAGACAGCCACACGCCTCTCATTCTGGAAGATCTCCTTGGGCACCCCGACTGTCAGCTGTTTGTAAGGAATCCCTGGAGTGGGAGAGAAGGGAAGGAGAGGGAAAGGAGATGAGGTGAGCTGGGCAGGCAGGCACACAGTCCACTTTGCACTAGTGGGAGCCACCGCCTGTTTCATCTGATGTAAACGGGTTCTCATCTTGTCATATAAAAATACTCTGGAGCCTCTGCTCCAGAAAAAGATGAGCTCCTTTACAACAGAAGGAGAACACAAGAGCGATTAAAAATGAGAGATTTAGTTTGCTTGGGAAAACAAAGCAGGAAATATATGTACAACTGTACAATATAAAACAACGGTGTATGCAGCAATTACATCTTTGATTTAATTCTCACACAGCTACAGACTGGTCTGTTTGCAGCTACAGACCTTACCAGACTAGCGGTCTCTCATAGCTCATGGGATGATGACTTTGAGCACCAATAAGTGGCCCAATCAAATGTGGTATGGACTGCAAGGATTTGTTTTCTGAATAATGTACCCAGTTTGCATAAGTAAAAGACCCCGAATGATGGAAATTCCAGGTCTCCAGGTGTGACAGGTATTTCTAAAGTGATCAATCCAGATGCATGCAACCAAAATCAGCTGGATGAACCTGACATAACATTCTTATGGCACATAAAATCTGCCTGTAATGCGGAATTAATAAACACAAGGGGATGAACACTTGATTTACAGCTGTGTAACTTCATCCTTGCACAGCCAAACTCCCAACAAAATGACAAAGAATATATTTTGATCCTCATAACCTTTCAACAGATCGCAATATTGACAGATTAGAGTAGTCACAGTTAATACCTCTGTCTATAAAAGATAAATTGATCCCTAATTTCCTCAAATGACCTGACACTGGAGTCTAACCAAATCCAGCTGGCTCTGTACTTTGCTGAGTACAGTGATATAAAGCCAATAAAAATGTTATAAAGAAAAGGCTTTGTAGATAAGAAATAAAATGAGGAATAGATGTGCTGCACAAAGTATATTGCATTTCACAGTACTCTGCCATGTACTTTGCAATCCAACAGTTTACTCATCCGAAAGAGACCTTTGAAACTCATTTACAATGGTTTTTCCTGGGCTGACTCAACCTGGACATCAGACAGAACAACCATAGGAACAATAACCAGCCTACTGGAAGACTGTACTAAGAACCAAAACATAGTACACTTCTCCACACCTGCAAGTGCTTAACCTTGACAAAGATTACACCGAAACTCTCACCTTCCCCATCTACCACAATTTATAAAACCAGTGCTAAATTGCTGGTATTCACCATTCAAAGAGACATTTTGGGAATCTACGATGAACACCACATAGTAATAAGACTATGGAAAATCTTTCAAAACCTCAATTTAATGCAGCAGTAAATGTTCTTGTGTTTGCACTAAGGAGTGCTAAGCGATAAGCTCCATATGATTACAAAGACACAGACATTAACTGTGTCCCCCATAAGAAATCTACTGAATCAAATATATCTTGATTCTTTTATTGCGCCACCATCTTGCATCTGAGTTTGTACTCCAATGTACATTCTGTTTTGTGCAGACATCTAACTTTGGACCGCATAAAACTGCTTTACACTGTCTTGAAAATTTCCACTTAAAAATGAAGACTTGCAATATAGCAAGGTAGAGTCCTTGATTTTGGTTTGTGAAAACAGTCAAGATGGGAACAGGCAAAATGCCAACTAACAATGTGAGAATAAGTCATGTGATCCCATTTAATGAATACTTTAAGATGCAATTAGATTGTTTTTATCAGAAGAGCACAAAGGTAAAGCTGTGAATATGAAAACAGAAGATGAGAATGGAAATTTAAATGTGTAAGTCAGCAGACTGGGTGTCTTTGTTTCTAAAAAGAGCACTTAAAGTAAAATATCATTTCCACAGAATTCTAGTATTTTTGTAAAAAACAGGAAAGATGATACTGAACTCCTTTAAACAACAGTATTGATGTTTAAGGAAAAAAAGAAATGTACTGAGAACAAAGTCAGAGGGTTTTAGTTTTGTTTTGCACACTTCCAACATAAAATACAGACAATGTCCTCAGCACAAACATGCTAAAGAAACTAAAAAGGTCACAAGTAGCATCCTGATGTGTCCTCTTTTGTCTAAGCTGTTGGAAGAAGTAGGGCTATAGATATCCTGCTAAAATTACCAAAAGGTACATTTTCACAAGTTAAAGACAGTAAAAATGTGACATGCCAAGCTGAGACAGTACAATCAACATGGATTCAATACTCATCTGACCTCTCATTCATTCCTTTGCGGGAAAACTTTGCTCATTCACTGCCGCAGCAGCTGCCTTATTTCTCTTCCCGATTCATGACGGAAAATTCCTTTACCGTCCCATTCCTTACAAATGGCAAACTGCTGACCGACCTCTTGTGACAATAAACAAGCCCAGTAAGCCAACAGGATTACACTCTGCGCCTCCCCAGACCTGAACTGAAAAAATGTTTACATGAAATCAACCTGAGGCACTGCAATCCCTTTCCCTGAAACTCACTTACACTTAAGTAGAGGGTGTCTTATTCACAATGGCTGGCAGCAATCTAATTGTAGGAATGTCACGCTGACAACCATTCCAGGTCTAGATAGTCACAGACGTTTTGCTTCCCAATTGATGTTATCTCACTAACTGACAGAAATATTGAACATTACCATGCAGTCACAGGAAAGACATTTTTAGCCTAGAACTATGGTGAACGGTGTCTCTTCAAAATGGCAAGATTAAAAAGAGAAATTATTAATTATGTTCAGTATGTAGATCAAGAGCTAGATGAGTGCTTTCAGTTGCAACGAAAACCAGAAACCCAGGGGGCCTTCAGGTACTGAGCTTCAGGTACCCCCTACCCCTAGCGTAGCCAGTGTGGCAGCACATGAGGAAATAATTTTAACTGAAGCCCATGTGCAAAAGGGCAAACCTATGCTCATGTGCTAAGAAATGTTTCTTCTTTTAAAAGATGAACCTTGTTCTTCTGCAACTGCTGCCTCTCTCTCAACTTGGGAGCTTAAGCTGGAACAGTGCCAAGAGCAGCAGGCACCAGCTGTCAGCGCCATTCCACACTGCTGCTGCTGGACTGGCTCTTACTGGCACACTTCCCCACGCCCATCATGGACCTCCTCAGCGACCCGCAGCACTGACTTCATTCATTTACATAAGTAAGACGAGGGCTGCTCTACTGGTTTATTTGGAGCATGAGGACCCACAGCACAGGGGTGACCTTGGGTTACTTAGGGAAATAAAAAGAAAAATCCTTCAGATGCCCTTTATTTCTCAGTCACTTTCTAGAGTTAACTTTCTAGACTAACATGCAGAAATCAAACTGGAACACTGGACTCTGAGACATGCGCTCACACATACAATAGAATACCACACCAATAAATAGAAGAGGCCTTCTTCATGCAGGGTAAGAGGGAAAGGTACAGTCATTATAAATGTCACACTTTGAGGCTTTAAACTCCCAGAATGACTGTGCCATAAGTGACAAATCTGGTAAGCGATTCTGTGGGTTTTCTTAAACCTGTAACTACAGATGGTGTAAACATGTAAAAATCATATGTCTTTAAGAAACCTGACTCCCTACAAAATGTGTTCAGTTTAGAAAACATCAGCAGAGAGATAGCATATGACTTAATGGACTCACCTCTCTGGCCCGTGCTCATAAAGTGTCCAATAGTTTAAAAAGAATTAAGAAATCTCACTATCTTGGAGTAGACCTGCATTTTTTTCATCCTTTGCATGAACAGGAAAATAATCAAAGAAACAAAATATCAAATATTTTTTAAAAAGGCTGAGAGCCAATATGAAATGTTATTTTTATTCATGCAAAGTTAGTCCCCTAGAGTGCTTTTGCACACTGTTTCACCCTGTGAAAGGAACCATGCCAAAGACAGACTGGCGATGAGCCCCCTCTGGCTCACCTGGACTGGCGGCACCCTGACACCTCAGAGCCTGGTGGGTCCGGAACAGGCGCAAACACGGCGTCCTGGCGGTCTGCGCCTTCAGAGACAAGACCCCGCTTACGAGGACGGGGCTGGAGCAGCTGCTGACGACCGCGCGCAGGAGACTGGCCATTGTGCTGATGGGGAGGGGAGGAGGAAGAGCCGGGAGCTGCCTCTTCTAGCCTGAGCCGCCCTCCTCCTGCCACACGAGAAAGGGAGATGTTGGATTACCTCTCCACTCAGCTGAGTGCTCCCCCTCGGGCTTGCATCAGGGGTAAAGGCTGTGGGGTGGAACACTGGAAAGTGGAAATGTCACTGGGACAGGAATGCAATGCCACATACATACATAAGAACATGAGTAAAACTGCACATGAGAGGAAGCCAGTTAGCTCATCTGGAAGTTAGTAGCTCATTGATTTGAAGATCTTATCTAGATGTTTCTTGAAAGAAAGCAGTAGATAAGGAGATCACCTTGAACTGGTTACACCAAAAACTTCAGTCAAGGAGAAATTCTCTTTCTCTTTACATCCAGACTGAAACATTCATCAGCCAGAAGTGATATTCAATAACTAGTTTGCATTGGCTCCCCACATCGAACCTACCCTGTACCAGAAAAAGCACGGCGGATTATGAATTTCAGCAGGGAAAGGTCTGAGAGTCTGAAAGGGTTGAGGTCAGGAGTCCAAATGGCCCTTGAAAGGCAACAGAGCGAGGAGAGAATATTCGTCCTTCACTTTTTGAAGCACTTGGCCATGGCAAAGAATAGTGAGAACTGCAGAACAGTCAAGCCCGGATAGGTCTCGGATGGATAGGCCGCAGGTTAAACAAAACACCGGACACAATTCCCGTCCAAATTGACCATACTACAGTTAATTACAATGCTTATGTCTGAAACTCAGTGCATTTGCAAGATTGGTGATCTTGAAAACACTAAGGTCATTATTTGGGGGCATTTAAAAGGAACGTTATAACCGAGTTAAACGCTGATCATAAACTCAGATTCAATCCTAAAACATCACAAATAAATAATCGGAACCAATTAAAATATGAATTTACTTTCTTTCGGACATCGTAACCCCAGATACTACATATATAAACGGAAATGTTTACATTTTTGCTTCATGTCCAGGACTCGAAAACATATATGTAGTATTTAAGGTATTATAAACCTCCACTTGTAGAGAGGCGTAATTTCAGACAGGATCGAGTGCTGTGGTTTTCTCACGCCTCTTCACCTTCCTCGCTCCTGTGATTGTTTCCTTTAACTACTGTTAATTTGACTCAAACTTTGCTGTGGCAACATCCTACACAAAAACCAGCTGTACCCAAGGCTACAGCACTCGGCTGGTAAAAACTCAGAACTCGATCTTCAGTTTCTACCACGTCAGCGGACTTTTTCAGTTTGCCGCTAGTCAAAAAAAAAACATAGTTGTTCAGCCAACTATAAACTGGCAAAAAAAAAATGACAATCTAGGATAGATGCATAAGGATTTGCATGCCGCTGAGTGACAGACAGACTTTAAAAACAATGTAACCACCTTAAAGTAAAGGGGGGAAATCTATCCAACACGGGATACCCCAGAAAAACAATCCTTAAAATATCATAAGACATTGTGAAAATGTGGAGGGTTATATATTTATTAAGAAAGAAAGGACACAGGTTTGTCTTATTTCCTCAGTTATAATGGCCTCTATTTATAAAGGGGAAAACGAGGAGAACGTCGTCGACACTCTAACCCGTTGCCGCATCGAGGCTCGGCTGACATAAATCCATGCATCCTGCAAAAACGGTTTAAAAACAACTTCTAAAATCGAGCTCAAAACTTTTGAACATTTTCGGGCATTTACTGCGACATATCCTGACCCCACATTGCAACCAAATGGAACGTTTACACCGGTGCACTATTTGTAGGTCAAAATAAAGCCTTTTCGTATACTGACCTTTAGGAAGCCGGCTATAGGAGACTGAACGGCGGGTTGCCGAATGACTTCAATTCCCAACCCGGAAGGAGTTGGAGGGCTGCTCGGTTATTTTCCGACCACGTGGTGGACATGAGGGAGGGTGTGTGGGTGCTGTACTCGGCGTTGTTGGCGTTAGTTTATTCGAGCTATGCTAACGTATAGTCGTCCTCTTTTTTTTTTTTACAGAAAACTAATATAGTACTGAGGGGGTGGAGTGCTGTTGCACGAATGCAAAACCTTAAACGGTTCCGAAGCCATGGGCGCAGTTCCCGCGATCTGGGGAAATTTATATTGCACATAGGAAAAATAACTTTCACTGACGAGCTTGTACTGTTTTGCCAAACTATGCAAAGAAATGAATTGAATGAAATTGCATAGTGAATGAACAATACAAGCATATAAACGCAGTTTTTATAGTAATTAATATATTCGCCTTATATTAACCAGGATAATTTATTTTAACTATCTTCATAATAAAATTTGATAACATTTTAGGTATGTGTACATTCATACAGAAAAAAAGATTACCTAAGTTTTGCACTATTCCCGGGTATACTGTCTCCTAAATATGTATACGCACACCATACGTGCCCACAGCAGCTGTACATAAATCGCTGAGAAATATTAATTTCAAATAGCAGTTATATCTCTTCGGTGCGTCATTCGTGCTGTGTTACACAGCGCAAAAGCGATACAACTACGTTTTCTGGGCTGTTAAAGTGATTTGGCAAATACAGCTTATGGATGTTAACGAGAGGTGGAAAGACAGCAGGGCGCATGTGGTCCTGCCGGCTATTCTCCTGTCAGCAGTGCCTGAGCTACTCCTATCCTCTAGTGGACGCCATAGCTCCTGGCCACATAACATCTACTGAGTTCCTCCGTGCAAACTGCCAGTTGTTGTTACAGGAAGTCGCGTTCCTGAAGGCTTAGAGTTTGTTTAGGTTTTCTTTCTCGAGTTACGTAGGGAAACGAGAAACAAATTACATCAAACAAAGAGAAACGTCAACTTTTAAAACTACGCGTTCGCAATATTGTCGGGTTTCTCTCAGCCTGGGGCCTGTCGCGGCTCCGGATGAGGCTGCGGTGAAGCTCTACGCCAGGGCCCTGTCTCTCTTCACTTTGCGGGCATGACGGACAATTTCGATCGGGCCCCCGGTGCGGGACGGAACCGGGCTAAGCCTAGCATCACTGGACTCGGAGAGCAGGAGAGCGGCCGGCTTCCGGATGTCGGAGAGGTAGCAGGTGAAGGAGAAGCCAAGTCGAGCCTGTTCAACCAACAGGAGCCTCTCCGGCAGCCCAGGACGTCCCCCTCACTGGGGGATAGCAGTGCGAGCGGAGGTGAGAGGGATCACCCGCTGCGGGCGTGATGCTGGAAGACTGAAGCGTGTGGGGCAAGATAAACCATACAGGTTTCTGCACCTGTTTGTATACCACCGACTTAACTACTCTTTGGGAGCTCTCGACCCTGTCTTAGAGTGTTCAGTTCAGGGGGATTTATTGTAACAGCGGAATCATTACATTCTTGCCAAAATAGAACAGCGGGTAATCAATTGTGCATGTGAGAGGTAATAACTGCAGCTTGAATTGATATATATATATAACAGTTAGCATGAAATTGGTGGGGAAAGTTATATTCGATTATTTGGCCGCAAGCAGAAAAATCTTCTTAATCCCTCTAATTTTATATAGTTTAAAATGAATACAGTAGAATATTTAACAGAAAACGTAAAAAAAAAACTCGCCATCAGAAATGACAGGAGCTTTGGCGAGTGTGTCATGTGACGTTTGAATGTGTTAAAGCAGAGGAAGGTGAGGACTGCTAGAAAATAATTCAAATCTATGCAGTTTACTCTAAGTGAAACCCCAATTTTCAACATTCCCTTTGGTAGCCTGTTGAATTCTGGTTTGGATGACAGTATAGGAGACTGGTCTTTGGTACTAAAACTGTTTTTTTTTTCCTGTGGAAAGTGCTGAAGCAAAATTGACCAGCATGGTGGCAGATGGTTCTGTGTGCATAGTATGTGTGCCTCCATAGTTTTTCTGGAGTACCCCCCCACCCCATCCCCCTCTCTGGGCCCTGTGCCCAGTTTTCCACAGTCAGAAAGACTGACTGGCAGAGGAATTAGCTGACCCCACAGTTTTGTTTCAATGCCAATTAAAATTACTGTCTCTGTTCAGGCAATCGATGTACATGTGCACAAGAGTAGGTAGTATATTGCTTGAGCAGCTCATTCAGACATGGTAACTTTATTTTAAACACTACATACCTTGTAAAATGAAAGGTCATGCGACAAGGAATCCGTGTGCATTTCTTGAAGAAACTGGGTCTGTGCAGCTGTAGGTAGGCATATGCTCAATGAGGATCTCTTGCCTATGCTTGCATTTCAAACTCTGGAACAAATGAGCTCACTTACATCCAAAATGAAGACGACATGTTTAGAAAACCGTACATTTATAATGACAGGACAAATGAGAGCATTCAGGATGTTCCCAGGAACCCACATTGTCCTAACCTTGGTGATAAACAAAGATCTGGATGCGTGGAATTGGGTAGCATGGCATCATAGGCAAAGCTGTCTGTGGTCTTCTTCAGCCAAAGATGGCCAGTTTGTGGTCAGCCTCACTTCTGATTGTATAATCGAGATGTTTAACGCAAAACGAGATGTTTAACGCAAAGCAAAGCAAAGAGTTATCATAGAAATTGCCGAGGCAGAATTAACTCTAAATGCATTACTGAAAGGCGTAAAAAGTTCTGATGGCGAGAACGCAGGACTTGAAGATCAGTCACTGATGAAATATCAAGAAGTACACACTATGGAGCAAGATGCTGTAACTGGTAAACCAGGTTTTTTGAGTGATGGTGCTTTATGGCAATAGCCAGGGGTTATACCTGATACAACGTATCGCTGGCTTTTGTCAATTATATACGAGCAAGTACAGGTCATTGAGTAACCATTAACGTGGCTTTTCTTGAAATCCGTCATTTCAGACAGCAGAAGAACAACCAGAGTTCCACACTTGGCTCACAACAACAACAGCGCCGCGGCACTCGCGCCCCAGTTGGCCAGCCCTGCTGCGGTCAGTTCGAATCTCTCGGTGAACGCACCAGAGTTCTACCCAGCGGGTTATACCGTGCACTCGGTAAGATTGTCACCAGCAGCCGCTGTCGTACTTCAACAAAACAAAAGGATTGTGATCGCCCAGAAATTCATATTCCACTGTCATCCCTAATGGAGTGGCTTTTTAAGATCTATAATAGTCCTGCAGCAGAATCTTTCATTTAACGCTCATCACTTGTGGAGGTTTTTGCAAGTTGGTAAAAAGAATGAGTTGACTTGCATAGAGTGATTTTAAAAATTGCTCTGCTATTATTTTTTTTTTGAAAATATTAAATCTGCTGTGGCTTAACCCACTTTCATTATTGGTGTGGGTTATTAAATATGGTTTAGAATGAGGAAACATAATTATGTGTACTCATATCCTTGTTGTTAAGATCAGTATGGATGTCATTTGTAGTTGTGCACTTGATGAACCTGAATCTAAAGTAAAGATCAGATCTAAAATACAGAGTCACACATTAAGTGTCCCTCCCCCAAAAGTGCTGAAATGCATACAATTATATAGTTTTGTTTTTTTAAAAGGCTCTTTCTCTCATTGAAGGAGGCAGCAGTGTGCGAAGATGGGTGTGGTGACTTTTACTCGGAACCCATGCTGACAGAGTTGGTGCAGAGTTTCCTGTCCCACCTCAACGAGTTCCCAGGGTCGTTTGAATCCGAGATCGAGCCCTTCACCACGATGCTGAATGGGTGGGTCACGACAGAAGAGGCGCTTCACGAACTTGTAGAGCTAATCTATCACCAGGTGTGTGTGCACGTGCGCGCCCCTCTTTGCAGATTCATTTCCAGTTCCTTATGCAAGGAACAGTTTGGTGATTGATTATCATCTGGTGCTAAAAACACTATTTGTCATCATGTTCATTTTGTGCATTCAGTTCTGTTAACTGGAACGCCGGTACAGTTTGGGCAGGGTAGTATAATTTGCCAGCTTCACAGAAATAAAATAGCGATCATGTGCTTCATGCTGGGAAACAATCCTCTTTAAAACGATGTTTCATTAATAACCTGTGACGTTTTTGAGTCTTATAACTGGTATGGTGTGATCATGGCTGCCTCCTGAACTCAGTGTATACGTAATGCTGATGAAAATGGAAAAATGTGCTGTGTATTTATGCTGTACACAGCAGATAGTTGAGCCTCTCAGAGTGTGAAATAGTTTGGTCTGTTGTTCTAGCCAAGACTGGATTTATAAACAAAAAGAGAAAGAAGCTAAATTGAAGTGTTCATTAAAAATGCGGTAAATATTTTGGGTTACACCCCCAGATTACACAAACAACATGAAAGGGCAAATGATAGAATATGAATGAAGATTATATGCAGTTTTGGACAAGCAGAAAATGAATTCGCATTATCGGTAGAAACAAGGCTTTAAAGCCTACTGCCAGGAAATGACACGGGGAAGTCAGTTAGAGTTAAACAAGTCCAATCCTGAGGAAATAACACCTTAGACAAGTGCTTCACGGATGCATGTTCACCTCTAATGTAGTTGTTTTATTTTGTCTTATTCGGGTAGACATTGGGTGTTTTTGTTTTCTGGGAAAATAAGATGGAGGCACTAGAGTTGGAAATAAATCTTAGTGTAAAACAGGAAGCTTGAATAAAAGGGAAAATTACATAAAAGGGAAGTGCTGTTGAGCATAAAATGTGATAATGCTTTGAATATTGCAATTATTGTAATGATTGGCACAGTCGTACAGTGGTTAGCATTGCTGACCTGTAGAACTGGGGATCTGGTTCAGTCCTGGGGTGCCATCTACTTAGAGTTTGTATGTTCTCACTACATGCGTGTGGGATTCTCTCAGGTGCTCCATTTTCCTTCCACAGTCCAAAGATGGATACTGGTAGGGTAATTGGCTTCTGGGAAAATTGGCCCTGGTACGAGTGTATGACGAGTTTCTGACCTGCAATGTACTGGCATTCTGATCAGGGTGTATTCTGCCTTGTGCCCGTTGCTTGCTGGGATAGACTCTAGCTCCCCCACCACCCTATATTTGATGATAAAGTATTTTTATGATATGTATGATACAGTGGGTGGAACAGCCCTGTTTCTTCAGCAAAGGTGTCCAGTGTACAAAAGAGCCAGCAAATTGCATCAGTGCTTGTAACCCTCTGAAGTGCTGCTTGTTCTGTAAGTGAAGGCCCAAATCAGGTTCCTCAAGGACCAAATTGTCTACATTTTCAGGTCTGGAAAATAATGGTGTTTTCAATTTTCAAGTCCATTTCATAATTTAAGGTAAGGGTTTGAAAAAGCCAAAGAACCATGCTACCATCCACTGAACCCAGGAGTCTGCAGAGTGAGTGAGACATTTGTACAGTGTGCTATTATCAAAGCAGTTTATGTGTGAAAAGCAGGTAAGTTAATTTATGTGTTGATGTGTTATATAACATTCCTTTCAGCTGTGAAGTTGGATGATTTAATGGCAGATGAGAGCAGTGTTTGTTCTTCTGTGTTGGTATTAAGTGGAGTAGTGTCTCTCTTTGAGATCTGTGAAAACTTTGTAAGCAGTCTAACTCACCTTTCCATATTCTACTCCACAGTCCACATCTGTCCCCAACTTCTCATACACGGGTGCTCGCCTGTGCAACCACTTGTCTCAGCACCTCACTATCAGTCCGCCAAGTGGAAACTTCAGGAAGCTGCTGCTTATGAGGTTTGTTTCTTTCTGCGTATACCAGTCTTACCTGCAGTGTTTGGTTGCCAGTACTCTCAATGACTTAATTGAGCTCGTTGATTAGTTCTTACTTTGCCTTTGTGATTGCTCCAGCTATTGCATCCATTGGCACAGTAACGTAGAGGGTAAAGTGTAAAAATACACTTTTGCTTTTCCTGTGGGTCTGTAACCTGTTTTTTTTTTTCCACACACTAGATGTCAGAAAGAGTACGAGGCAAGAGACAAGGCTGTGAAGGGAGATGAAATGACTCGGAAAAGTTTTCATTCTTATGTCCTATTCCTGGGGGAACTGTACCTGAACTTGGAGGTTAGTGGGAATCGCTTTTTGATGGTTTATGAATAAAGAGTGGAAATAATAGCAACAGTAACATCAATAAGAATTATTAGATTCATATTTTCATGGATCCTGTGGTGAAAAGATCCACTTGGGAGCCACATTGAACGCTACAGGTCGGAAATACAAATCAAGCATTTGCTGACTGGCCAAAAGACCTAGAGTAAGTGCTAATTAAAGTTATTTTTACAATCAAATGGTGTAAAATTAAATTTGCAACAGTTGTATCTGGTCATGTTGAAATAATTAAGAGTGTATCTGGGGATTCAGGGACCACTTTTTCGGGTCCCCCTGGAATAACTGACATTTGGATCCCATGTAATTTCCAACAGTTGCCTTGATCTGGTGGCCAGGGCAGGCCCTGCTGGTGACACTGGTCTGGCCCGATCCCGGCATTTCTCAATTTTACATGTCTCCATGTACAAGAGCGATGAATCGATGCAGTTACGTCTTTGGAATTTGTCAAGGATCCAGAAAAGTTATGTATCAAGAGCTATAGATGGAAACTAAATTTACAAGCTATGATATATAAAAAAGGGACAGTTTCAGTAGATGAGGAGGAGGACTAGTAGTAATAATATTATTATGATGATGATAATAATAATAGTTGTCTTTTGCAGATTAAGAGTTCAAAAGGACAAGTAACACGTGCGGACATACTGCTGATGGCGCTGCATGAGCTATTGGATGCACTTTTTTCAAACCCTGTGGATGGGAATCTCATCTGTGCTGTGAAACTACTGAAGGCAAGAGAGTTGCATGTTAAAGGATTCTACATTGCATTGCATCTGTAGCTGCTATGGATAGTAATATGCATCATGATTCCTCTGAGCAATAGCCTGTGATTTGGTTAGATGGCAGAGGTCCTGGGCCTGAAAGTACAAATAAGTGCAATGGATTTCCAGATTCCTGATTATCTTTTGCTGCCGGTAGATGAGATCTGGCAGTGTATGAACTTGGACCAGCCATTTTCTTGATCCCCACTTCACAGCACAAACCAACCGATGTCCAGTGGGGAAGTGTAAAAAAATAACTTCTTGGCATATTCAGAAACAACTGTTCTCATTTCACCAATCAGAGCAGTTTGCTACTGTAGGTTTTTGTATCCACAGTTTCCTTTTGAAAAACATTGTGCCTCTGTTCTGTCCTCTCTTCATATGATGTATCATATAGTTAGTTTTTCTCCTTGAGGAATATTTTATATTTTCTACTTTAAGTTGGGTAACTGAGGTAAAAAGCGTATTGTGAAGGACACGTGAATAGATACTGTCCAGTTGACTGACTGCTTGTCTCCCCATTAGTTAACGGGTTCAGTTCTGGAAGATGCCTGGAAAGAGAAAGGGAAGTCATATATGGAAGATCTTATGCGGGGAATCGAAAATATTGTCCTGGATGCAGGGTGTAGTAGGTGAGGACTTCTACACAGCAAAGATCCCTGGAGAAAGGACAGGCTAAGTAGTTTGTCTCAAGCAAATGAACATGCTTTAAGTACACTGCTCTGGCACTTTTCTTACCTTGCACTATTAAATCGCAAGTAAATGCCACATAGGTATTTCATATTGAGGTTACATTTCATAGGAGCATTCATCAATTTCTGTTTAACACTCCACTGTGTGTTATAACTGATAAACTGTACAAAGCACTGAATTGCAGTAAATGCTCAGATATAGGAAAGTAGCACAGAATTATTTTCACTGTAGGACCAGTTTTTAAAAATGCTTTCTCTCAGGTTGTCTTCTGGCAATTGCTAAGAGGTCAGGGGTATTTGTGGCAGTTGTAGTAATGGAGGATTCCAACAGGGAGTATGGCTTTAAGTTCCAGTGCTGAAAAACACCGTCCTTGAGTCCAGAATTAGCAGCATGGGTTATGCAGAGAGCTGGATCTCCCTATGCCTTTCCTCAGGGATGTGAAGCAGATGCTGCTGAGGCTGGTGGAGTTGAGAAGCAGTAACTGGGGCAGAGTCCATGCCGCTGCAGCCTTCAGTGAAGCCACGCCGGAAAATGATCCCAACTACTTCATGGTGAGAGCACAGTGCCGGGCCATAGGGGCGGATCTGTAGTGGACGGCCCAGCACAGCTTAAAGGGTTCAAACGTTCTGAAAGCCTTATTTGTCCTACTAAAGTGGGTACTTGAAGTTGAGCCAGGCAGCCTGCAATGTGCCTTTTCTAAGGGTTATAAGATATCCACTGCTGGGGCACTGGGATATTATGATTATCACAATAGAATGTGGATAATTAAATATTTTGTATAGTATGTATTGTGTACAATTTGTATATTGTATAGTATTGACTTTACCATGTTGTTAAATTAGGCCAACATAAAATTAATATAAAAAGTTACATACAGTGATGATGCCTTTTTTTGTATGTGGTTAAAATGTTTTAGTGTACCATACCAGTGCTGTAATTCCCGTATGTCACTGATATGTTGGTGCACGCTCAGATTTCAGCCTGTAAAAAGACTGCCATGCACGTGGACGGAGTGGCTGGTTTGACTTCCACATTATCCTGTTTCTCATTTTGTTTGCAAAGGAGGTGAAGAAAGACTGCATTACATTACATATTTTTTCCCAATCCTATTTGTTGCACCTCATTTGGCAGCTCATGGAGTGGTTCAAATTAATCAATAATTTGCAAGAAAAGGATACACTTGAGAGGAGGGCATACAATTCTCATTACATTATTAATGCACAGCACTTTTCCATGTGGAGATATGGAAAGTGTTAAGGGATATGGTACGATAGAGTGCATCCTTCTAGTATACTACTAAGGAAAGGCTGTCTTTTTCATGCCTGTTTGTCAGGATCCCCAAGGCATGTTCTGCTCTTTGTCACAGGTCTGTGGTTTTCCTAAGAAAGGTTAATTAGTATTTTTTTTCCATTTTATGCCTGTGTTCCTAGAATGAGCCTACATTTTACACAGCAGAAGGAATTCCTTTTACAGCTGCTGATCCAGGTACGTATTTATGTGTCTTTTTTCTATTATGGCTGTATTACATACAGGACAAGAGACAGATTTAGTAGAATTGTTAGTGGGATGAACTTCTGCTTCACTAATGACACCAGCCTATTACTGTTTAAAGAGCTGAAAACAACAAAAAAACATCTTGCTAAGCAAATTTTTCATTCAATGGAGTAACTGAAAGGTCAGCGGGAAAAAAAACTATTAAGGTAAAAGGAAAACTCCAGGACACTTGTGATCTGATGGCACAGTACAGCCTTTCTGTGACAGGTCATCATTTACTTAATCCATTGTGGAATTACAAGAATATGAAAGGGATGAAAAGCAACCTCCATGTATTTCTGATGAGTCTATTTTTCTAAAAGTGTATGTGCACATACATGACGTTATCTTGTATATTTGTATCATTGTTATCAGTCCTTTACTTTAATGGAAGGCTTTAAGAGTGAAAACTGTGACTGCCAGTATTGTCATTGAATGACCTAATAGAGAAACCTAAAGTAGAGGAGAAATACAGATTATGGGTGTGAAAGCTCAACTAATCCTTTTTTTCACAGAATACTCTGAAAAGTACCAAGAGATAATTGATCGAGAGGATTTGCTCACAGATTTCTTTGAAGAGAATGGGACAGAGTTTCTTGCAGCGGGTGAATCGTAAGTGCATCTTTAGTCTAAAATAATGTCATATCTTGGGACAGTATATTTAGTGCTCAGTGGATCCTCAGGGCAGGATTCAAGGAATCGGACAGAAAATAAAATTCATACACTTAATATACCTTGTCCTCTTCAACCCCTTATAGGCCGGCCTCTTGCCTGTACCAGTAATTGTTGGAGGGCATTTATAAACATGCAGATAGCAATTAACAATTTAAAGTTCATGCCAGTTTCCATTTCTGTGCTGCCCGATATTGAAATAGCCTGTAATTTAGAAGAACTCTGTTTCTTAGTTAGGAACAATAATGTTCTAGAAGACTCATGGGGTAAAATATAAAGAAGTGCCACATGGTGACTGTTACCCCTGCAGTGGGGTTCTTCTGTCTGCTGTGTGCCAGCTACGATAAAAGCAGCTCACCACTATTGTGGACAGACTCAGCAAAGCAGGAGGCAGATCCAAAACTAAATTTGATGACTCTGCTGGCCAGGCATAAAGTAGCTTAGCTTGTGGTTTATTCACACTTGCTGTGGCTTATGTTGTCAGCACTGTGTTGAGTTCTAACCATGGTGGAATAAATCCTGCAAGGAGCCTAAAGACACGATGGAAACAGAATCACCCCATAGTGGGAGCTTTTCAAGCTCTTGTGTGAATCTTACAAATCAATACACAGTTAATTATGCGCCAAATGATTAATAAAGAGGCAATTATTGAAGTATACTTAGGGCACAAAAAGAGAGGCTCTTTACGAGTATTGTGGTTCTTCAGGACAGACTACTGAGCCAGAATGCATTGAATATGGGTATGATATTAAAAGTAGTATTTTAGAACGCATCTTGTGCATCCTGAAGCTCAACCAGTGAAGTTGCTTGTTGAGACAGTGAGACAGCAGCTTGAGCTCTGTGCCCCACATGACTTTAGCTTATTCAGGGTCAGGTCACTATGTGATTAGAACTCCTCAAGCAGTGGTGCAAATTTTCGCAGAGCACTACTGGGAAAGGGTTGGTATTAATCACTCTCCTGCAGAGCACTGTGGAACTTGAAGCATATCAATTGACAAATGGCCCTGCAGGTGCAGAGGGTATGTCAAAGGAACATGTCTATGTGACTTATTCTCACCAGAGCAGGCAAAAGAGTACTTACAGTGCCTTGCGAAAGTATTCGGCCCCCTTGAACTTTTCAACCTTTTGCCACATTTCAGGCTTCAAACATAAAGATATAAATTTTTTATTTTATGTGAAGGGACACAATTGTGAAGTGGAACGAAATCTATTGGATTTTTGAAACTTTTTTAACTAATAAAAAAATGAAAAGTGGGGTGTGCAAAATTATTCGGCCCCCTTGCGTTAATACTTTGTAGAGCCACCTTTTGCTGCGATTACAGCTGCAAGTCGCTTGGGGTATGTCTCTATCAGTTTTGCACATCGAGAGACTGAAATTCTTGCCCATTCTTCCTTGCAAAACAGCTCGAGCTCAGTGAGGTTGGATGGAGAGCGTTTGTGAACAGCAGTTTTCAGCTCTTTCCACAGATTCTCGATTGGATTCAGGTCTGGACTTTGACTTGGCCATTCAAACACCTGGATACGTTTATTTGTGAACCATTCCTTTGTAGATTTTGCTGTATGTTTGGGATCATTGTCTTGTTGGAAGATAAATCTCCGTCCCAGTTTCAGGTCTTTTGCAGACTCCAACAGGTTTTCATCCAGAATGGTCCTGTATTTGGCTGCATCCATCTTCCCCTCAATTTTAACCATCTTCCCTGTCCCTGCTGAAGAAAAGCAGGCCCAAACCATGATGCTGCCACCACCATGTTTGACAGTGGGGATGGTGTGTTGAGGGTGATGAGCTGTGTTGCTTTTACGCCAAACATATCGTTTTGCATTGTGGCCAAAAAGTTCGATTTTGGTTTCATCTGACCAGAGCACCTTCTTCCACATGTTTGGGGTGTCTCCCAGGTGGCTTGTGGCAAACTTTAGACGAGACTTTTTATGGATATCTTTGAGAAATGGCTTTCTTCTTGCCACTCTTCCATAAAGGCCAGATTTGTGCAGTGTAAGACTGATTGTTGTCCTATGGACAGACTCTCCCACCTCAGCTGTAGTTCTCTGCAGTTCATCCAGAGTGATCATGGGCCTCTTGGCTGCATCTCTGATCAGTCTTCTCCTTGTCTGAGCTGAAAGTTTAGAGGGACGGCCAGGTCTTGGTAGATTTGCAGTGGTCTGATACTCCTTCCATTTCAAGATGATCGCTTGCACAGTGCTCCTTGGGATGTTTGAAGCTTGGGAAATCTTTTTGTATCCAAATCCGGCTTTAAACTTCTCCACAACAGTATTACGGACCTGCCTGGTGTGTTCCTTGGTCTTCATGATGCTCTCTGTGCTTTCAACAGAACCTTGAGACTATCACAGAGCAGGTGCATTTATACAGAGACTTGATTACACACAGGTGGATTCTATTTATCACCATCAGTCATTTAGGACAACATTGGATCATTCAGAGATCCTCGCTGAACTTCTGGAGTGAGTTTGCTGCACTGAAAGTAAAGGGGCCGAATAATTTTGCACGCCCCACTTTTCATTTTTTTATTAGTTAAAAAAGTTTCAAAAATCCAATAGATTTCGTTCCACTTCACAATTGTGTCCCACTTGTTGGTGATTCTTCACATAAAATAAAAAATTTATATCTTTATGTTTGAAGCCTGAAATGTGGCAAAAGGTTGAAAAGTTCAAGGGGGCCGAATACTTTCGCAAGGCACTGTAAAACAGTAGGCAGTTCTAAATTGGTGCCATAGTGGATATATTATAAAAAAGTCAATATCCGTACTTTTACTTTGTTTCAAACCATATCGGTTAAGATCAGTTGCTAGTGTTTTCTCTGAGCAAGATACTTATAGTAGAAAATATATAGTAGAATATCTGTATAAGATGTTTGTGCACTAAAGAGTAACCTGTTCATATTTTTACCCAGTTTCACATAAAATTACTATTAAGCTTAAACGTTTAGGAATACAAAGTAGCTTTTAAATGCAATTATGTATACTCAGGTCATAGCCTGAAAGTTGCCTATTAATTGGTAGTTTTGTCTCACTGCTGTTCATCCACAGGTACATAGATGATGATGATGATGAAATGGACCCAGAAATTGAAGAAGCTTTTGAGAAGTTCTGCTTGGAATCAGAGAAGAAGAGAAAACAGTGAGGAAGGGAGAAGAAGAGATGTAGACTAGCACTGATGCCTTCTGTGTTTATAATGTGGGAATAAGTATAGCAGCTGTAAAAAAAGAAAAATGTTTATTAAAGTTTTAGCAGAATTCTCAAAAAAATATGCTTAGTCAGCACTTCTTGGTTCTTCTGTTTTAGTTTTTAAGTCACTGAAATTTCTGTCTGCACTCTGCTTCCACATACACACTCATATTGCAACACTTGAATGCAATGATGGGTTTGATAGCAGGGGTTATTCTTACTGTTTTTGCCTAATCCAGAATCAGGAATCTCTCTTCCTCCAGCTATATTTTATCAACTAAAATAAAGACTCAAGATGCTCGACACGTTTGTATAGCACTATCAGATTTTGACTGCTGGCTGCCTGATCTCTTTTTTTTGCACTCAGAAACTACAACACCCTTCAATGGCAGTGAATTCCAAGAACAATAATGTTTGGCACTAAATTGCAACACGCACTCAGCCTGCCCTTTGCGTTGAAAGTGGAGTCTGAGATGTCGAACTGGGCAAACAATAGAACAAAATGAAGGTGGTTTGTCAACTATTCAACAGATGATTCCGTGATAGCATTGATCTTTTTTTTTCCCAACACAACTGTTTTTTTCTGATAATTGTGATCGTATGCAAACACAACACTGACGTCAGCTGGCAACTACTTTGTGAAGATAAGAAGCAGTTTTATCTTCAGTGTGAGGCAAAAGAACTGAGTCACTTCATCCTCAATGCCACACTCCACTATGGAATTCCTGTTGATTGGTGGGTCGAGTAGAAAAACCACAGACTTCAGCACAGTTACTGAGTTACAGTGTTAAAGAGCACAGAAATGCTGTTCTGACTGAATTTTATATATATATACAGAATATAATTAATCATACAAAGAACTTTTATCGTATACATTAATGTTATTTACATTGTTTGGCTGCAATAAATTGTTTATAATAAGACAAGTGTGATGAATTCAGTGAAATGTGTCTTTGAGAAAGTGTTAAAGTGAATTGTTGAAGGGATATAGAGCAAGGAGTTCACAGCTGTAGATGCTGAAGGATAAGCCCAACTGGTCCAGCAAAACCGTTTGAATGGATATTCTGATTTGGACCAGAGCTGGCAGGTGTGAAGTCTGTCCTGAACTTGATACTTTTTCTGTCTGATGGCTTCTACGCTGGGTCTGCAGACAATAATTCTGAATTGTGAAAGGTATTACGGATGGTTTTTCAATACAAGTACAATAAAATCTTCTTACCCTTATTTCTTACCTTGAGATAACAAAGAGATGTAAGAAAATCTCTTGATTTAAAAGGCAAGTTATTTGACCTTTCCACATGATACTACCATAACTTAAAGAAATTGCACTACGCATGGTATTTGTTTAAAAAACAAGCTGGCGTTTGACAGTAACGCTGTCTATCTGTGACTGTTATGCCGTTCTTCCAGTTTCCTTGCTAAGCATTAGTTTAGTCACCAAGCAACCGCTGGCAACCAATGAAATGTGACATTACTAGAAGACTGTCCACTGAGAGAGACGCTTGTTTCGTCATCTGGGAGCGGGAGGTTCGTATTTTTTCCCCACATTGATTTTTAGAGCTAGTTGTCCGAAACTTTAAAAGAAGTTATTTTAAAAAAACAGAACACCAAAACGTCTGTGCTACCCGGACCAAAACATAGAATTTGACGACCATGCAGTAGCTACTTTGCATAGCTCCGAGACCTCCTCGTACTATGGCCGCGGCCAGCCTGATGGTTTTGTATGAAGACGAGTCGGTGGAGGTACGGTACAGCGATGGCTCCTGGCTCCAGCTCTCTCCCTGTGGATCGGAATTCCTTTTCGACAAAACGCCTCCCATTTCGGCTCATCCACTACAACCCAGCGAGAGGATCCGGCAAAGAACACGCTTCGTCATCAGCAGCTATAAAGTAAAGAGATTTACGTTAGTTAACGCCCTTCAAATGTATTCTTTGTGTATAAAATCAAAATATCTTAATTTCGGTAACTTCAGTCGTGAAACTCCCAGTCTATTTAAAGCAAGATTCTATTACAGAAGAAATGTGCGATTCTGCGCAATTCACAACGTTACAGTTTCGGTGCACATCAGGAGCAGAATACACTTAATATCACTTTAACCTGTCTACGAGTTGCCCCCCAGTGACTGATTTCATCATCCTTTTACTATTCTCGCATCACAAACAATGATCTCAGATTAGCAGTACCTACTGTTATTCATGTTAAATCTAGTAGTGTAGTTACTTATAGTCTGCAAAACTAAGACGTTGCTATTTTGCAAGTTCAATGTGCAGCAAGTTGATTCAGTCGTTCAATTTAAAAGTTTATAGATAAAAGTGAATTGAGTTGGAGCTATTTGCCTCTCTGTATAGGGTAGATGTGCTTTGAGTTTCCTTGGCTCCCATGTGTTCTAAACAGTAACCTGCTAACATCAATGTGAGACTGGTTTCACATTTAATTGCTGTTTGTCCATCACTCCCTGCTTATGCGTTGTGGCTAGTTGCCCATTTTATTTGTAAGTTTGCATAGGTAAAAGTGTAATGAGAGTCCGTGCTTATTCTTTCTTTCCAGGAACTGATTGTCCAGGCTTTGGAATTCAGGAATAGGTTTGCCAGTCGTCCGTACCTCCCTGCAGAGCTCATCCCTGCTGACAAGAGAGCTGTACGTAAGGATCAGAGAAGTTAGACTTCATGGTGGTGGGCCCCTGTCACCAGAACAAAATGAAGTTGATTTTTATTTTTGGTTTAAGACGCAATGTAGTGACATGTAGTGTTCATGCTGACTGGTGAAATAACTTTCTTTGGATTTAATGACAACGTTGCTTAGCATGATGGCTAATTTTTACATGGTAAAGTAAGGTAATGGTACCCATTGAGCCCACAAAATCTGCTTGTTTCATCTATTTAATTAGTTTTTTTGAGATAAAGATAACTGTTACTTTTAAAGATAATCTTTATTTTTTAGTATTTTGTTAGTTAAAAAGTGAACTATATGTGCAATATTTCTTCTTTGCTTAATATGATCATGAAGTACCATATAAGCTGATGTGTGATCAAATTAAGACCATTTCTTCTACTTATTGTTTCCCATTATATTAATGAGAATTTAATTAAAAAAAAGTAATATAATGCATGACGCACTCTAGGCTACAAAACGTTTGATTAAAACCAAAGTAATAGAAACATACTTCATCACAGGCCAGTTAACATTCAAGATTTGTCAATGTATTCTGCCTAATTTTAGTTAATAATTGCTTATACTTATATAGCACTTTTCTGGACACTCCACTCAAAGTGCTTTACAAATAACGGGGACTCCCCTCCATCACCAGCTTTGTGCAGCCACACCTGGATGATATGATGGCAGCCATAGTGTGCCAGAACAGTCACCACACATCAGTGGGGAGGAGAACAGAGTACTGGCGCCAGTACTGAGTGCCCCCTGCTGGCCCCACTAACACCACTTCCAGCAGCAAGCTTAGTTTTACCCAGGAAGTCTCACATCCGGGCTCACACCTGCTGAGGTTCAGTGGGTTTCCAGTTGTAAGCTGCAGGGTGAAATACAGTAGCTGCTGGCATACAAAATCCCTCGACAAGGATGGGATTCAAACCCACGCTTGCAGTGCACAATGGATTAGCAGTCCATTGCCTTAACCACTCACCCACCTCATCAGCAAGTTTACAAATGAAAATGACATAAACCAGCAACATAAACAAGTTGCTGTATTTCTGATGGATTATAATTTACCTTTGAAGCCCAACCTAAAAAAAGACATTTGTAGACAAATTCATCCATCCATTTTCCCCCTGGGTACTCCTGATGAGGGCTGCAGTGGTAGCAAGCTTAGTAGGGCACACCAGACTTCCCTATCCCCGTTACCAGTCTCCGTCTCCTTCAGATATAATCCCTTCAGAGTGACGTTGATCTGCCCGGGGTCTCTTCCCAATGAGTCATGCCTGGTATACCCCAGAGTGCATTCATGATAGATGTCTGAACTATTTCAACTGGCTCATCTTGATCCAGAGGAGCAGCAACTGTGCTCCATGGACCTCCTGGACTTCTGAGCTCCTCTCCCTGTCACTGAGAGTTAAGCCCAACATCCCTATGGAGAAATCTCATTTCCATTTCTTGTACTCGCAATCTTATTCTTTCAGTCACTACCCAAAACTCGTGACCATAGGTGGGCGTTGGGACATAGATCGACTGGAAAACCAAGAGCTTCATCCAGAAACTAAGCTCACACTTCACCACCGCAGTTCGGCAAAGCATCTGGATGACTGCAGCCTCTCATGATCCTCTATACTCTCACTCGTGAACAAAACCCTCTTACTTAAATTTCACCACTTGTGGCAGCTGCCTTCACCTGGAGAGAGCAAACCATGACCTCATAATTGGAGGTGCTATTCCTCATCCCGACCGCATCGCACTCAGCTGCAAATCTTGCAAATGCCCACTGAAGATCACAGTCAGATGAGGCAAAGGAGACAACATCATCCTTAAACACCAGAGATGCAACCCTCAGGTCCATAAAGTGGATACACTCCAAATCCCAGCTGCCCCTTGATATAATGTCCATGAAGATCACTAAAAAGGAGAAGAGACAAGATGCACCTAAGACTCTGCCAAGTGTCTTGTACAAAAATATCCAATATATTTTTGCTCTCATTGTCATTTGGTGATAAAGTAATGAAATTAGTAATTAGACGAGGAGGACATTAACAAATGTCTATTATATCGTAATACAGATAATCTCTGTGCTAGTCTTCTCAGGCCTGCCGCAAAATATACCGTACATCTGAAAGGTCAGGAAACCCAACTTTGAATTCTCTCTAAAAAATACATAGTTATTTAATTGTTCAAGGTAAATAAACACATTCAGTCTCTTTAAAAAATCATTACTATTCCTCTGAAGATAAATTGGAAATGTTTTCTTCTATAGCTGTTGCAAGGCTGAAATTTCAAAGTAGCTTTCAAGATGGGCAAATACTGCTGAAATTGGGCTCAATTGGTACACTTACTGCACTCTTTTAGTGGCATTTTACACTTGCTTTTTTTCATGGGGCAAAACTGAGCTGGGTGGCACTGATCTTCAAGGTTTTTTCTGTTAGAATAGTATGAAGCAGGAGGATTTCTTGTCCAAATTTGAATACTATAAGCAAAATTACAACAATATGCATGTTTATTGTTTACAGTCGTGGATGAGGTGGTTGAGTTCGATCAGATTACGGCTT